TATCTGCGAGGATCTTCACGCTGGATGGTGTTACACGCTCGGAATCTTCAATACCAGATTGTTGATATTCACCGTACTCGTCAAGGACACGCTGCAGGATTGTGCTGTAGCGTTCAGCTACCTTCCAGTACTTTCCCATGTGGGCGAGCGTATCGACAAAGAAGATTATATCCGGGCTCACAGTATGAGCGATCGTAGAGCCATGGACAAGTAGTAAGCGCGCAGAGACCCAGAGCGTGAAGGCAAAAGGTGGTCCAAGCTTATCGAGCATATTGTTATCTACAACAAAGCGCGTCACAGAGAGGATGTTTTCGACTGCGAATAAACAGCGCTGGCTGGCACTGTATGACGGCGTGAAGATCGGGGATCGAGTCGTTGGGTATGCAGCCGATGAGTGGAGTCTTATCACCGCACTGTAATCACTTAGCCTTGGCATTGCGAGACAACTCGGAAATAAGAGCGGGTTAATGATGATGCTTACGTTTGATATGTGGCATGGAGTTGAACCCAGTCACAAGGGAGGCCCTTGTTTGATTTCGAGCCATTGAACAACCTAGATGAGTTTTCGTAGGCGTATTCAGCTGGAAGGCCAAACTCCCAGGCGGTTAGCTCACCATCCAACTTGCGATATGTTGCTTGCCACTCTTCAACATCTGATAGAGCGCCGATATCCACGGGTCGTTTCAAGAAGGTATGAATACGGGACATGATGCCGAGAATCTCCACGTAAAGTCCGAAGGAGCCGACATTTTCAGCACGCTTTAGATAATCAGCACGATCGCTCGAGTGGTGAAACCATCTAGTTTCGACGGGCTGGTTTTTCATGAAAAATTCGTCCTTGCATGGGAGCTTACGGTCGATATCTTTATCGTCCAATGCAAAATCAAAGGCAGTTGCAAGGGTCGAATATCGGTCCAAGAAATATACCATCCAGAAAAGTCTGCGCCTACCTTCATCTTCAATCCAAGACTCTGAGTCAGGGAGAGTAACCGCTCTTAGGGTATAGATGGAAGGGTAAACGGGAGCTATGAGTGAGGATTTGGATTCAACAGCCAACCCCAACTGAACCACGGATCGCGTAATCAGGGCAAGCAGTTTCCAACCAGGAGGCCCATTGGAGGAGCCAACTAAGTCCAAAGCTAGTATAACCAGCGCCTGAAGCGCCTTGACCGAGGAGTTCTCCAAGCCATAAAGCAAGACTTTCTGCTTGGACGAATCATGGTACCGTTTCCGATTTTGCTCGTTGAGCCTACTGTCGCTTGAAAAGCGCAGAGTAGTTGCAACGATAGCATACAGAACCATGCGATCGGCTTCTTCAAGAGGGGATGGGCCGAAGAAGGTGTCTAGAGTCGTACGTCGGTGAAGAATAGGACACCACGAATTTATATGGTCAAAGTAAAGGTCGACCAGCGCGTATAACAGATCGTACGGTGGGAGATCGAGTTCTGGGTCCGCAAATGACTGTTCCTGATTGGAGAACAAATTGACTGGTACCTTCAATGATGATTCATTCCCCGTATAATCACTCGGGTGTGTGGTATCAGAAATTTGTGGGATAGGTATAGGTGGGTTTAGGCTACTTGTTAGATGGCTATGCATCACGTTCCTAACAGAGATGTCTGAAGGACTAGTAATAGACGCGTCAGACGGACGTGGATGAGCTGGCACAGATGCTGGCTCATGAAAGTAAGCTGCATTTCGAGGACTTGGCCCATGGGCAGCAGAAGGCTCTGATGGCGAACTATAAGAATGGGGACCAGCATGAGGAAACTCATGATTTAACCGAGGCTGGCTCTGTAGGATATGAGTTTCAATGAGACGGGCCTGTGTCTGAATCACTTCCTCTAGCCTGTCTGTGCAACATGTGAGCAAAATTCTGAGAGATGAAAGTGAACAATCGAGAGTTGACTAAGCTGATAGATGAGGAGTAAGAAAACATACCTAAACGTTGTTCCAATTCTTTACCATACCCGGCCCGAAGACCAGGTTTCTTCCGTTCTTTGTATTCGCATAGCTGGCCATTACGAGTGCACCAGCCGCAGCTTGGTTGAGCTCGATCTAATATTGTCAGCCTATAGCATCATTTATCGCGAGAGAAAGAGGGTCGCAAAAGGACTAGTGCAGAATCACTGAGGCAAGAATTACTCACCACATTTGACCTTCCGTTGCTTACACAGCTCGCATCTTGAGCCGTTAGTTTGACTATTCCATAAACGATCATCGGGTACTGGAATTGGACCAGCGGACGAGGGGGAAGAAGATGGTAACCTCGTGCTGCAGGCCCGAGGGCGGAGGTACGTACGACACTGTGAGGGGGCGCTTGCGTTTCAGCGAGCGAGACGCATTTCCATTTTGAGTGACAAGATCGTTATCGCTATCAACAGCAGACCAGGATTCATCTGCGCTCTGATCTCTGTCCTGATCTCCAAAGGGTCGCGTTATCGGTGGAGTCTGCTGCGCAGAGACTGCGGGTGCAGCAGTGTTCGGCATGGTACTGTAGCGAGGTCGGGGTTTAAGACAGATCCTCGGTCAAACCCCTACTGCATGGTGACGGGGACCCGTATCGGTGATGAATTTGGTTCGGACCGAAGGCCGAAGGATTCTGTGAAGAATCAGATTTAACACTTAGATAGTGTCCAAGAAACCGAGTCTAGGGCGTAGGGTACAGAGGGAAAGGAACTCTGAAAGAATCAACAACATGGGCGAAGAGAAGCGACAAACACGTTGGGGCCTGAGGCAGTCATCGGCAACTAACCCCGCAAAACACTAATTCGCATTTATAGATTCTCCACAAATCACCAAGTTCTGCCAATCGGGGTCCCACGATTTGTCTCCCACGGGCCTGATGACTAACAACCCGGTGAGAAGGATTTTGCCCCTTTGGGAAGCTGCTAGTGCTTCCAGGCTCGGGGGAGCATTGCACCGAGACACGGGATCTTGACCGAGGGTATTGTTCACGCCCCCCTCGAGGGCTGAGGGTTCCTATGCGTTCAAATATGGCCGATTACCCCCGGCGCAACTTTGTAATTTATCTGAGTGTTTTCTATTCCTTATTCTCTATAGATCTTCTGGTTTGGCACATTGTCCTGCTTTTCTAGCTCATCCTTCTCACCATGGGCTCTATATCTGAATTTCCCCGCATCAAAGAGATCCGCACCTTTATCATCGATGGTGTAGGATCCGGTGGTGATTATCACAATGTATGTTGAGCCTCCAATGATGTGTTCATGCCCTATCTGGAAAGAGAATTCGGCTTACTCTTAATTCAGGTCAAAGGAGGTCACTGGCTGATCGACAGCAACATCTCTACTCCCATGACTAAATGGGCGCAATATCGTGGATCTCGTACATCGTGGGGTATCAATGTCTTGGGCTCATTCTGTGTGGAAATAGAAGCCACAGATGGAACCAAGGGTTTCGCGACTGGCTTTGGTGGCCCCCCAGCTTGCTGGTTGGTACACCAGCACTTCGAGCGTTTCTTGATCGGCGCAGGTGCGAACCTTCTTGGTCTTTGCAGTGGTGAGGGATATAGTTGGGCTAATTGGTTTATCTCACTGCAGACCCTCGCGATGTCAACGACCTGTTCGAGAAGATGTACCGTGCGTCTATGTTCTACGGCCGGAAGGGTCTTCCGGTTGCTGTCATCTCGGTGATCGACTTGGCACTCTGGGATCTCCAGGGAAAGATTCGTAACGAACCCGTTTACAAGCTCATCGGAGGAGCTACTCGGACACGACTCGACTTCTACTGCACCGGACCTCAGCCCGCATCAGCCAAGGCTATGGGCTTCTCTGGAGCTAAGGTAGCTCTGCCCCATGGCCCAGACGAGGGTACCGAAGGACTCCTGAAGAACGTGGCATACCTGCGCAAGCAGCGCGAGAGCGTTGGTCCTGACTTTCCCTTGCGCGTGGACTGCTACATGTCATTGAATGTTCCCTACACTATCCAGCTTGTCAAGAGATGTGAAGCTGAGGGAATCAACATTGACTGGTGGGAGGAGTGCTTGAGCCCCGACGACTTCGACGGCCATGCTCTCCTCAAGAGAGCCCACCCCACTGTGAAGTTCACCACCGGCGAACACGAATACTCCCGTTACGGTTTCCGCAAGCTCGTCGAAGGCCGTAACCTTGACATCGTCCAGCCCGATGTCATGTGGGTTGGTGGTATGACAGAATTGCTCAAAGTCTCTGCGCTCGCAGCCGCATACGATATCCCCGTTGTCCCTCACGCATCCGGGCCATACTCGTACCACTATGTGGTTTCGCAGCCCAACACGCCATTCCAGGAGTACCTTGCCAATTCTGCTGATGGACACACCGTTGAACCAGTTTTTGGAAACCTATTCCTCAATGAGCCTATTCCCACCAAGGGTTACCTCGATGTCTCCATCCTTGACAAGCCTGGCTTCGGTCTCGAGCTTAACCCCGCCGCTCCCTTGATCCCAGCTTCTGCCCTCCTCACTCCTGCTCCTCAGAAGAGCCTGGCTCCGCCTACGGATAAGGAAAATGGAGCCAATGGCGCGGCTCACTAAAAGCTCCACTTGTCGCTTTACTCGTGCTTGGGATGATACAGCGGGATCTTAAATTCCATTGCATTTTCTTTATTTAATGTACATATTGTTATGAATTTCACGTTGAAACTACATAGACAGAATACTAAGAGTCCATTTTGGTAAAATTCCCGACGGCCACCTTAACCCATGTGACAGACACTTGCCGCAACGCCCAACCGACTTTCCCAAATGTGGGGTAAACATCGGTGGGCTCGGGGTAACAATAGCACGAAACCCCCGAGCAAAACTCCACCAATTGCGCACTATCTTATCGCGTGGCGGGGTTAAGATGGCGAAACGAGAGAAGCAAAAGGCACGGCAACGAGCGTAAATAAAATAATTGAGAAAAATTATCCCTACTATAAGAGTATAATCACACAGTCCCTGATCCCCTCCCCCCAATCTCAAACCAAAAACCAAATACACAAGAAACACACCAACCCACACTATGCCTCTCCCTCAACTCCTAGTAGGCAAAGTCGCCGCAATCACAGGCGGATTAACAGGAATTGGCAGGGTAATCCATGCTCCCTCCCCTTCTCACCCCATAAGGTCCCAATCTAACACGAGTCCCAAAAGGCCATCACCCTGGAATACCTCCGCCATGGCGCAAAAGTAGCCATCAACCACCTGGGCGGGCCGAAAGAGGAGCCCCTCCTCGAAGCCCTGCAAAAGGACGTCTCCGAGATCACCGGTGCCGACTCACACAGCTTCATCGCCGTCCCGGGGGATGTCACGCAGCCTGAAACAGGACGCGACTTCGTCGCCAGGACGGTCGCTGCCTTCGGCCGACTGGACATCTTCGTAAGCAACGCTGGCGTGTGCAAATTCGCCGAGTTCCTGGAGTTCGTTCTTACCCCCACCATATCCTACCCTGCCATACCTTATCTTTGATGTTCGCAAAAGCAGGCTGTATTTGGCGGCTCAAAATGAGAGTATGTAGAGTGGTACTAGGTACGCTAACATTTCTATTTGTTTTGCAGAGTTGATCCTCCCCTCCTCGGCCACACGGTAAATACCAATCTCTCTGGAGCCTTTTATGCTACGCAGGCGGCGGCACGACAGATGGCACTGGAGCAGTCGCCGCCCGGCGGGTCTATTATCGGAATAAGTTCTATCTCGGCGCTCGTGGGTGGCGGTCAGCAGACGCATTATACGCCTACTAAGGCTGGGGTTTTGAGTCTTATGCAGTCTTGTGCGGTTGCGCTGGGGAAATATAATATTCGGTGTAACGCGCTGTTGCCGGGAACTATTCGGACGCAGCTAAATGATGAGGATATGAGTGATCCTGTCAAGAGGGAGTATATGGAGGGGAGGATCCCTCTTGGGAGGCTTGGGCAGCCGCCGGATTTGGCGGGGCCGGCGGTATTTTTGGCTTGTGAGGAGTTGAGTAGTTATGTGGTAAGTTCTTTTCCTGTTTCTTCGTCTTCAAGTTTGGGGGTATATTGGGTGCTGATTGCGTGTTTGCAGACTGGTGCACAGCTTCTTGTGGATGGCGGGGCTTTTGTAAATCTTCAGTAGGTATAGATGGGTGGATAGGAATCTCTGTTGTTCATTCTTGATAGATAGTGTATATAGTAAAGGGTTCTTATGCGATCATATCTCGACTCCGTATGCTTTCACTGCTACTCCACCCCATACATCCCTCTTCTCTTCGTCAGTTAACTGCCTCTTCTCTAAGATGCTCTCCACTATACTCTTCCAACGCCTCCAGGTGACTGCGTTACCGCCTCCCCCTACGTTGCAGACAGGCCAATCAGACCCAAACATCACTCGCTCGGCACCAAATGTATCAAAGACCACATCAGTCCACGGACGAATCCTCTCCACAATAGAAGCAATATCAGGTTCGGGGTCCGAAGGAACTGGCAGTAGCTCAGAGAAGCCGCCCGAAAGCTTCATGTACGTGTTGGGATACTGTGCCATGGCGGTGACCAGAGACGACCATTCCAGAAATTCGGGATGTGTCGTTATTGAGGCGGGCGATGGATCGGGAAGCCGAAGATTCGGCTTACAGAGGTGATCTACATCCTCGTCAGCTTTGGATAACAAGTACCACGGCCGAGAGAGATGGGAGAAGAGGTAAAATGGGAATCCACGAGTCCAAACATACTGATAATCATAACAACCTTCTCGTTTTCTTTCACACCATCATAGACCCTCCTCATCATTTCGACCGCCTCCCTCAACTGCCAAAATCCACCCTGTCTCGCATCTACCCCCAGATCGAACACCAACTTTTCTCTCCCAAGCCATTTCAGTCCCTCAACAACGTCATCTTGCAGCATGACACCCTTCGGCTTATCTTGGAATAGATACCTCACACCCCGAAGCTTTTTCCAGACTTCATCGGTCTTGGTACGTTCTCTCACTAAGTCCATGTATTTCTGTAGCACGGTAGACCCCCCGGGCACAGGTGCCCAGGGAAGAAACCCCAGACAGAGATGCCTATCTTTATCGTGATGACCCTCACCCGCGGCAGGAGCCCCGGTGATGATTCTCGTAAGCAGCGAGACTTCATCTAGAGCATGAGACCAGCCTTTCCCGTCCTCTTCAACGGAAGAGATGCGATCTGTTTCGAGGAAAATGAAGCCGCGCAGATATGTCAGGCCAGCGGTATCTGCGGTGGTAGAGATCGAGGATGTCGCAAGGCGATACTCATCGACTGAGTGTTGGGATCCCAGGGGCGATCCCGGACCATGCCAGGCGAGAGTTGGAAGGTGAGACTCCGGGAAAAGATGGATGTGAGAATCCACAATTGGAATAGGCATGTTGCAATAATCGTTTTGGGCGTGATGTTTGTTGTGGTGGATCACGATTCTGGTTGGGGAGATTTGCGGGGTAAAGGACGGATTGTTTGGGTGACGCTTTAGTTGGACACAATGAAAACCTCCCCCCAAAGAATTGAGATTAAAGGGTGGGGGAGATCATCTTATTTGTCTCGGGGATCGCTGCGACGCCATTCGGTGATCATTAGGCCGAAGGATTTAAAGTGCGGAATTCCAGGTACAATCACATCATCCGAATGGGTACCTTTGGGATTGTGACTTGGGACAGGTATTTAACAGAGGGATCCCCAGAGTTTGGTATCCTCGAGGCGTACCAAAATCCCCAATTTTCAGTGATGCGCGGTGATCCGACGACACCTGCCATAAACAGCTTGCCGAGGCCTTTCAACGCAACGCCCTCGGTCATCGCTTCCCCCTCATTCACTTTGGATCCCATTAACTTTCAGACACACCCACATGATTGGTTTGTAGGCTCAACCGGATACAAACGTAACCATTAAGGATGCATTCACAAGCGCTCGATGAGACCCACGAAAGATGTTCACTCGCAGCACCCCCGCAGCTAGCTGTGATCACCACCTCCTCCTGCCCTTCTCGGCTACACTGCCTAATAGCTAGGAACTTGGCGTGGCATGCTCACCTAAGATAAAAAGAGCGAACTCGGGCCCACGGACCTGAGAGGACACTTCCCAAAATATCTGTCTTACAACATCCCAATCACATTTTCTTTTATCAAAACACGCGGCTTAGTCAAGTTCACGCATAGTCCGCAATGGCTACTTCTGAGATTCCAAAGACGCAAAAGGCGGCCGTCTATGACCAGCCTGGGACTGTGTCCACCAAAGTGGTAGAACTAGACGTTCCTGAGCCTGGCGCAGGCGAGGTACTGATCAATCTGTAAGCTCTGAGTCCTGACTGAAACCGCAGCACAGTGACAAGTCGAGCTGGACCTAGTGTTTTTCTGACAAATCTGCAGGACCCATTCCGGTGTGTGCCATTCAGACTACAGTGTCATGACAAACTCTGTATGTTGTTGAGAGCCTTTTTGAAGATTCCTATATCAGTACTCACACAGCCTTAAGTGGAGCTGGCTTCCACACCCAACACAGCCCGGACAAGTTGGTGGTCACGAAGGTGTCGGTAAGATTGTGAAGCTCGGCTCTGGAACCGAATCTTCTGGCCTCAAAGTCGGAGACAGGGTGGGAATCAAGTGGCTTTCCAGTGCATGCACGAACTGTCGTATGTATAATGCTCCACCGTACACATAGGGCACACATTGACCGGCTTGTAGAGCCATGTCAGGCCGGTGCGGAAGGACTTTGTTTTAATCAGAAGGTCTCCGGATACTATACCCCTGGCACTTTCCAGCAATATGTTTTAGGGCCTGCCCACTACGTGACACCCATCCCAGAAGGCTTAGAATCAGATGCGGCAGCGCCCATGCTTTGCGCAGGCCTCACCGTCTATGCTGCCCTCAAACGAAGCAATGCTCGACCTGGACAGTGGATTGTCATCTCTGGTGCCGGTGGTGGACTGGGACACATTGCTGTACAACTGGCCAGTAAGGGTATGGGGCTGCGTGTGATTGGTGTCGACCACGGCAGCAAGGAGGAGCTAGTCAAGGAATCCGGTGCAGAACACTTTGTTGACCTCACGAAGTTCCCCACGGATGACAACGGCAAAGCTATATCTGACCATGTAAAGTCCCTTGCTGGTGGCCTGGGCGCTCATGCTGTCATCGTCTGCACGTCTTCCAACGCAGCCTATGCCCAGTCTGTGCAGTTCTTGCGCTTCAACGGGACAATGGTGTGTGTTGGCCTTCCCGAGCACAACCCTCAGCCCATTGCGAGTGCGTTACCTGTTACCTTGATCGGCAAGCATTGTTACATTACTGGGTCGGCTGTCGGTAACCGGAGGGAGGCAATTGAGGTCTTGGACTTCGCAGCACGGGGCATCGTGAAGACTCATTTCCGAACGGAGAAGATGGATAAGTTGACAAGTGTCTTCGAGGAGATGGGCGAGGGTAAATTGCAAGGACGGGTTGTCCTGGATTTATCCTAAGTCAGCCGCTGGTTTTTCTCATTCACAATGCCGAGATTCAAACAGAAACATAAACAAGCCACGTACAGTCCAAATCGAAGAACCGGGGGGTAGGACCCTCGTTGCCCTAAGCGAACGCTCAGCGATCGACAAAATAAGCCTCGACAAGTTCGTGAACCTCAGGACAGATAACAAAAATAAAGTTATATGCATACTTATAATTAGTAGCTGCAGGTAGCGTACATCTTTACGTCATTGGCTCGATAATATTGATTGGCTGTGAAAATTGTAGTTTTGTCGACACACGAACAGTATCTGAAGGTACAGCTAGAAGAGCATGGAAAGCTCGAGCTCCAGAGAGGGCAAATTAATCGGTGCTGAGTCGATGAGAATGATACACTCTGAGTTCTTCTAAGTATAGTCGTGGACTTAATGGTAAAAGAACCGCGGACGTAACCATAGAGGTCATCGCTTCAGATCCCTGTCAAATTGGCTGGGTTGGTCAGGCCATTCGCGCGCTTCCTCAGTGGGCTTAGCACAACCGTAGAGCTCTTCTAAGATTCAGCTCATTAGGTCTCAGATAGTATTTTGACCCTCAAGCCTTAAAACTCTCCGTGATAGGGCTTTTCCATAAAGTTCGGTTGCCCAAAAAGAATTCTTGAGCTACTCCCAGCATCCTCAGACTCAACAACTGCTTCAAGACTTTCCCCTTTCAGTGTGTGTAGTTCCTTCTTGTCGAGTCTCAGTCCGACACTACCATGTATGACCCGTACGTTCTCTTCTGGATGGGGAATCGGGAGAAGAATATAGACTGACGGCCGGGTGATCAAACAGCTTCTTTTGTGCGGAGCATGTGGAGGTCAGTTGCGACCAGCACTGCTGGAAAGCATCCAGGACAGAAGTGAAAGGAAAGTCGGACGATTTTTGCATTCGGATAGGTCAGCACTGCCTCTGGTGTCGCGGCCGTGGTTAAAGATCGGCGTCTCGGCTCTGGGAACCTTCGGGCGAGTACTATCTCGAAGCTCCTAACCAGATAGGGGAATTTTATAGTTGTGAACTGTGGCAAGGAATCGGTGCTATTCGTAGAAGGGGCGAAATGGTGCTCTAGTACCGTTTTACCCGGTTCTGAGGCGAGAGTCCATGGCAATGACGACGGGCATCACGGGTTCGTTCCCATCGTGAGGGTATCTAAAGGTTCGAATTCAGAAGACCACATTCATGGATAGACTTGTGTATAGCATTATGTTAGTAGCCCGTTAAGTCTTTCAGGAAGATTGTGATCTGGAACGTGAGAGCCTCGAAGCCATGAGTCATGTAGATGATGTAGATCTCGAGTGGTTATCTTGCAAAAGGTAAAGGTCGGCAATCAAGCGATTGCTTAGCTTAACATATAATTACCGATATTGTGACACTGTTCTGCAAACTTAGTTTGCTTTCCATGGCTGTGGTGTCTAAGGAGGGCATGTGAAGGCGTTAACAAGTAGCCTCGTTCATGGATATATATCTCTGCAAGGCGAGTAATCAGCGCATGATCAGAACATGGTGAGTGAATTGAGTGTAGGTAGCGCTGGCATTCCCTATAGCGAGGAAGTACGAGAGTACACATTGACAAAAAAAAGGGCGAGAGAAAAAGATAGAATGGTTAGGCTAGACAAAGAACAAAAAGATAGGTTGAATACTGAGGGGATGTTTGAGGAAAAAAATTGACCGACGCAGGGATCGAACCTGCAATCTCTTGATTCGTAGTCAAGCGCCTTGCCATTGGGCCAGCCGGCCAACCGTTGAAGGAGTATTAATATATTTAACAACATAACCCATTGCAAACAAATCTCAAATATCTCCGAATCAACCATACCAGAGCTACATACTAGCGTACGGGGACTGGTATGTACAAGCACCATAACTATGAACTGTTGACGGCATGTAGTGCGGATTCCACGTTTTCCTCAATGTGGAACCCTCTTACACAATTGTCACCTTAATTCAATCCATACTCCTAGTCGTCTTGCGCCACATCGCAAAACCTATTCAACAGTACAATGGTACAATGGTACGAATGATGCAATTTTCAAAGCTAGAACGGCTAGGTGAATCGCGAACCAAAGGTACGTCTTGTTCACTATTCTCCAATTAGGAATGCAATGGTGGCCATGGCATTGGAGCAATCCGGTACCGACCTGTCGGGACTGGAGAATGAAGGACGTCGTAGCAATAGAGTTGGGTGCATTCCAGAGAGCCAGATTAAGTTCACGAGAAACCATGGCGCGAACCCGTATCTTGTGTCACCATAGGAATCTGCTAAAGCGGGGAAAGTATATAGTGGCAAGTGTTCGTAATTGCTTTTGATGGAATGTGAGGCGGTGCAAAGCTAGATGACAATACCAGGCCAGCTGGTATTTGGCCGAGTCATGATTCATTGGTCTATGGTGTGAAGCAAAGGGAAAGCTATGGCACACAGGGTATCGAACAAAACACGAATGTACAGCACTACCAAGCATCAGCGAGTTCTCTTGCTCTGCCCCTGTCCCCCAGAACTAGCCGTAGCTGGTCGCTTTTGTCCCGAGCCAGCAGAATTGGATTCAGCTCGACGGACCAGCCCATTCAACTTCAGTATGTATGCCTTCGGGGCGCGATTCACTTCATTTTTCTGAAGAATTGCCCCAAGTCTCTCCTTGAATTGATGAAGGTCGGAGCCTGCTAACTGCTCGAGGGCATCCAAGATGAAACACTCTCCTGTTTCCTCCGCCTTTCCGATAAGTTGATGGTATAAGTTACGTTGATCCTCATCCTCCCCATGGAAGGTCACGCCACCCCACAAGTTACCATCGAGCGCGTCCTTATTACGGTTGCATATGTCCTCCAGTAGTGTCACTAGAGCTTTAGCGGCTCCTTCAACACCGTGAGGCGCTCGCGTAGCGATGTTCGCTTGAATGCGATTGACATTATGCTGCAGATCTCCGATCACGTTGTTGATGTCCACATTGGATCCTTCCGAGCGCCGGCCCGTTTGGCAGTACCGATCGAAATCTGCCAACAATTTCCGTGACTTTTCTTGTACCTTATCGAAATAAATCGCTGCACAGGCACCGGGCGGCATGGCTTTGCACAGGCTAAAATAAACCGTTTCATCGTGTACCGCAAGCCGAAACATGGTCGCCTCGAAGTCTCCTTGCACCACACACTGTTCTGGAGTGCGCGATTGGCCAACGTCATCTATAAGGTCGAGACGGAAATCCTCGGGGAGTACAGCTGTATCGAAGGCAGACATAAGGTCTCTCACCTTCTGTGGACGGCTCATGCCACCCTCCACTTCTGAACGGACATATTGCCAGCTCAATTGCTCCGCTACTGTTTTGAGTTTGCCATCAAGGAGTCGTTCAATACGGGTAAAGACTGGAGGGTGACCATCGCTCGATAATGGTACATCATAATTGGGTATTTGGGGAATCAGACAGCCATGAAGCTGGTCGACAAGCCACTTCTCGGAGGTTAGCAGAGATTGACGAATGCGATGGATTGTGCTTAAACTCACAAAAACGTGCGGACAGGCAATGCCAGGCAGGCCCATGAATGTCGGGCAGGTGCACGTATAACCACCCGAGCCGATATGAACTCGTGGCCGCTCTGAGAACTGGAAATCGAACCCTGTCTTGGTTCTCCGGCAGCCGATCACGTCGAACCGACTCGTCAAACCAACAAGGGCTCTTGCTTCGGCCTCAGGATCCAGTTTAGCGAGGTCATAGATGATGCCGGATTTTCCTTGTAGAGTAGACATTTCAGGCAACTCCCCTCCAACCTCACTCTCGTCAGTCCCTGTTTCCATGAGTGCACTGTCGTCTTTGGGATGTGGTGTTCCTTCGGGTTGAGTTGGCCTTCGTGGCATTTTATCGTCGATAGACAGGCCGCGGAATTGTCTCGTAGGAGCGGACATGGGGAATAGATAAATACGAACGATTTAACCTTGGATCAGAGCTCGCAAAAAGGGTGTCTGTAATCTTGGTATCAGATGAATACAACAACCAGTCCGGTATTTATAGTTTGCCGCGAACCACGGGTGAGTGCGGGTACATTTCGACCAAGAGAGCCCACATTGCCGTAGTCAAGTAGGTGTTCACAGCAAGAAATGGCATACCTTCGACTGATCTGCTCCTAAAGTTAGTTCTGGCGTAGGCTGACCTGCCTTCGCCGCATGACGAAATTGAAAGAGTAGCAGTCTATGAAACCCGCGAGTACGGTCCTTAGGTTGAATAGTAGTTTCGGATGGCTCAGACGTGGAGTATTACACCATAGTGCCCTATGAAAAGCTATGAAAAGGGGCCTAAACTGGAAGGAGAAGACCCCACGGCAACTGGGCACAGGCGGCGTAGTACCTAGGGTCACCGACGGAGAGTAGGGATCGTGTTAACAAGGTTAGAAGATACTGAATCACAAGACCGTTAGGTTGAACTACACAAAAAAGGACGAGATTTTGTGCACTCGGTAGCCAATTACGGACTTCAACTGAGCCGGCGAGGTCCCGAGCATGGGGGATGTCTTAACTCAACGCCCAGCAAGGTTGATGCGCCGATATCTGGGAAGATACCGCTAGTGGGTCTCTCTTCTTGTGGCACTGGCATTGGCAGCTGGAACTGAACTGCGAGAGACGCATCGATGCCCCCCTCTTAATCATAGCCGGAAGGTCCTTACGTTTTACTTTCGCGGATCTCGTAGTGGATGACGCTGATCACCAAGCCTTGAAAGCGACGCTATGTCACATCCACCTGCGCCGCAAAGAGTGGTTGACATGTCTAGGCGACAGATGAGTTGTCTATCAAAGAAAACCGTTTATGGACCAGTGGGCTCTCTGATGAAGGCTGTCCTGCAATCCGCATCGTGGCTGCACTCGGGCCACAGTTTAGAGTTTATCCCTGGCGTGTGGGAGAAGGATTATATGATTTCAAGGCTTGCAGCATTGATAGTACTGGTTGATCAGAGTGTACTGCTGCTACATTTAGAAAATATCGTGTTGGACGGATCATCATTGACTATCCAATAATACAAGCCAACCCTAGCAGCTTTGAGGAAACCAGAGGCTCGTTAGATGAACACACCGGGGGTGGGAATATTCAACGGAAAACGAGAGTTGGAGTAGAGCATAAATGGTGGCTTGAGCGGGCGTTGGTCCTGTGCCACCTGGGGCGCGTAGGTATTTGTACGTGACTTGCTATGTGGCACGGCCGTTACCACCATAACGTAACCAACTGCGCAAACTGTATCAAGGTAGCCGTCTCCCGAGGGCAACTAAGGAATACCTTTAATAGTCTTGATCGCGTGCTTTGCTTCCTATGCTTGAGTCTGCGCCAACACTCGCTTCTCCTGCTTGGTTCATCCGCCGACTCTTGTCGCCCTGGTAAGACTCGCGCCACTCCGTATGATTGTCCGCTGGTGAATCCATTTAGATTCCTTCCCCCGTCTTCCTTATTTGCTCTCTTATTCTTAACGTTAAGCGTAACTAAGCAGAGAAGAGAAAATTGAAAAGTATTTTATATTCCACATTTCTTCCGTTGAACTCAGAAGCCGTAAGGGAGGGGTGATCTAAACCATCAGCAGTGTCTTCAGTCCCATGACTAGTCGCCATTCTAAGAACTCTAGACTGGAAAAGCAATCCAATAAAGAGAAGTCCAATTCTGTATGTTACGGTGCATGTGGCTAATAAACCGAAAGATTCGCTGTATAAGTTGGTATCAACAAAGAATACTGCGCACGACATAAGAGCTTCACGTGCACTTTCGAATTTAATGTGTAAGAAAAGAAGTAGAAGGAGAAAAATTAGTTACATCGTGAGCATTAGTATGTTTACTATAAAGACAACAATCTAAAAATACCTAACTCGGTGGTTGCGGAGTATTTCTTGCTGCATTTCTCTTCTTTGCATTCTCTAGCGCCCTGCGAAGCCGCTCCTGATGTTCCAGATCTTCATCAGGTTTTTTGGGAGCAGCATTAGCCGTAGGACGAGGACCAGGGAAGAGGACATCAATAGGGTGGCCTGCAGGGGCAGGTTCTGATGAACGGTTCCGCTTGGTGATTGGAGCTTTGCCTAAAGATTCAAGGAGGTTATTGATGGTGACGGCAATCTCGGCTGGTGCGGCGCGAACACTGTCCAATTTGGATTTAAGATCTGTCTGGATTTTGGCATCCTCTTTCTTTTTGTCGTCCTCGAGTCGTCCGAATACATCGTCATCCGCGTTGGAATAACGGGCTTCAGCAACAGAAACGCCGTAATCGGCATCATTGAGAGCTGAATCTGCGATGCCGAAGTTGTGCAAAATCGATTCGGAGTCCTGTCGTAGAGAGTCTACTAGGTTATAGACTGATTTCAACATATGTTCGATCTCAGAGTCGGGTAAGCTAGATGAACGAATGGTTGACACATCAACCTTTGACAATTTCGCAGAAACATCGTCGAGAAGACTCTGGTTCTCTCCCAAACCGTGCATGATTGCATCGTCGAATGAATCCATCAACCTGTTCGCTCTCTCATCCCGGTCTTTCGCCGCTTCTAAAACATTTCGCTTCTCCATCTCATCAAACTCTCGATCCAGTTGCTTGAGGGCTACTGAGTCTCCCATGAAGACCAGAGGTCGTCTTTCGGTTTTCTTTCGCCGATGTTCACGGTCTAAAGCTATTTCTAGACGTTTCTGATAGCGAGCCTCAAGCTTTTGGTAGATCTTATTGACTGTTTTCATCGTGTGAGACAAATTGTATTTATCTGTCACTGAGTTCTTGATCTTATTGTTCTCATGGTCAAGCTGACCAAGCGCCGAGTCATACTGGGCTTGGAGTGCAGAAATATCTTTTTGCAAACGTTCATCCAGCGGGTTGAATACCTTTGCAATATAGTCGTCTAGTTCTTGTCTTTCCTCGTCTAATTGAGCACGAGCTTCTGTTTGGCGGAATTCTTCCTCGAGGACATTGATATCGGCATATCCTATCTCTCTTCCGTTGAATAGCGCATCGATGCGTTTCTCGGATTCCTCTTGACGATGCATACGCTGCCTGTCTAGTTTTTCTCTGCGAGATTTGTTCGTAGCCTCCCAGGATCTAACCGTCTCTTGTATATAACCAAAGTCTTTTGAATACTTCTCTAGGTCCTTTCGAGTTGTGATGTGCCATGAGCTTTCTGATTGCTTAGCCAGGGGGGACGATATCATGGAGCGCAGATCATCAACTGGGCCATCAGGCCTTCCTTTCCTGAGTGACGCTGGTAAAGGAGGCGGAGACGACTTCCTACGGGATGCCTTGCGGTAAGCAACACTTTTCTCCCTAATTAACCCAATGAAAGTTTCGTCGTCGTTGCCTGCAAGAGGAGTCGAAGAGTGGGAATCTTCGTGAGATCCTGGGTGTGGGGCATTCGACATCACCCGCCCACTCTCCGCTGAGGCTTGTCGCAGGGCCGAGTAGGCCTGGTATGCAGGGCGGTCAATTACAAGGTGATCTGAGCCCCGCTGAGGGCCTTCGGTGTAACGAAACGGAGTGTATATAGGCTGTGGGGGGTTGGTTGTTAAAGGAGACAGCTCCTGCTTATCGAGCATAGAGGGTGGTACCGACGTAGCCCTCAATGGTTGGGACTGACTTTGATGTCCTGAGCTATATCCTTTGCCTGGCGGTTGAGAAGCAGGCCTTTGAATACCAAGAGTACTAGGCGTTTCAACCCTGGTAAGGATAGGACGGCCCCCTGGGCTATAACCCCCGTCTTCAAGGTCTTCCGAAACGCCAGCTGACCCCTCGCAGCTCTCCTCTGGTTCAGCCGGTATTAAGCCTGACTCGATCGGGGGTGTACTATTACCAGACTGCCGGTTGGGCTCCTGCGAAGCCGGTGTCGGCTTTTGACTTGGAGCTTCTTCATTTTTTGGTTCATGCTCAATGTTGTACAAGATCTCACGTAGCTTAGTCTCCTTGGACATAAAAGCTGTGAATATTTTGAAACGCTCCATATCAGAATCAGCGACCGCCTCCTTTCGTAGCATAGCCACGTAACGCTCCAAGGAGGACTTAGACCAAGGGTCTAAGTCTTCATAAGGATCCAACAGCTTGAGCTGTGGAGACAATACGTCTACCTTGGCACTCGTTTCGTTGGGGGTATTGCTTGAGCGGGGAGTATTTGAGCCCGATTGAACCTCTTTTCGCTGTATACTGAAATCCTGCTTAATTTTGGGAATTTCAAGCGGACTAAGCTTTTGCATTGGGGTTGGGCTATCCGTTCGAGACTGATGCTTTGGCCAGCTTGAGAGATTGGGGGTTGAGTGTCCGTGATAACGGGCCGATTCCAAGCTTCAATGACACCATCAATGCTCTCAGATGTCTCAGTAGTAGAGGTAGTACTGTACATCGACCCAGAGGTATCCGTTCTGATTGGGCGAGGCGGATCTTGAATGCCATGTATTGCGCTAGAATTGCCTGGAAAAGGCTGTGCTGCTGTGGTATCTTGGGTATGAACAGGCTGGCTTATAGGAGACACATTCGCAGACGGTGTAGATATCACAGCTTGGCTGTTCGAAGTTACAGTGGGAATAGGTGCTGAATATCCTGGTGATGGCTCCGGTGTAGCACTTGACTGAGCGGCGTTGCCCTGTTTATTCCCAAAAGCCTCCACATCATCGACGTCCCCTGGAGTAGGTGTGAAATGCTCCCAGTCAGACAGTCCGCCAGAGCCCAATACAGAGGTGTTTGTGGGAAGAGCATTATGGCTAGTCTTAGGAGGGACCGGGGGAGCGGTCACTGGGAGAGCACCTCCACATGGTACGGGATTTGCAGCGGTCAGTGGGCCTTGCCCTGATAATGTTGGTTGGGGTGATGAGACATTTGTAGAAGAGAATGGGGCATGCTGTTGGGCGCTACTGTTCTGCAAATTATGAATCTCTCCAGGAGGATGGACCGAATACGGCGGAGGTGACAGCTGCTGCGACGTTTGATTACCTTGCTGTGTTATTGAGCTTTGATATCCAATAGGTACTGGAGGCGGCGGAGGTGGAGAAAGAGGGCTAATCACAGGAGGCTGAGATGCATGCGGAGCATTTGTCGTCCATTGTGGCTGATATTCTGCAGCAGAAGTTGGCGGCCCATATGTTGGATTGGCTGGTAAGGGTTTATTATCCAATGGGCTCACGATCGGAGACTGTGCACTAGAAGAATAGGCTGGGGTACTTGGGGGTCGAGGCTATACGATACCATCAGTACGACAATCGCTAGGTGTACTCGAGTTGAGACTTACAGGAAGCGGCGGAGGCGCGTAGATAGGATATTGCTGCCTGTTGTACTTTACTCCCCAGGCACTAGTATCCATGCCCGCTGAGCCAGGGGCTGGCGAGCCACTTGCGCCAGCGCCAGGCAACGGACTAGATATGGAGCCATATGTGCTCGGATTATAAGAAGACGCTGATAGTGGAGGATGAGATGGTGGTGGAGGGGGCGGAGTAGGCCCAGGCGTAGGCTTCCGCGAGGGCCGCTGTTGCGCAGCCGATGGAAGCCGCCATTCTGGTACTGGAGGGCCCGAAGTTTGTTGGTTAGAAGAGTTAGAGTGAGGATGCGACCCGTACATATCTAAAGTAGTATACGAGTGAGCTGTTGTGGAGCTTGTAGAGGTCACTTCCCACTTACTGAAGTGAAGCAGGAACGCGGGGTTGGAGCGTAAGATTCCCGAGCAGTGATGAACTGATCTGCTGACCTGTCACTGATTTGGATCAACAACACAACTCTTACATGAAGAGTCGTGTTGCTGTGAGATTAAGTGAGTATAAAGAAAAGAACAGTAGGTGAAGAGAGGAAGGCTGTGCCTAAGTGATTAATCTAACAAATTATTTCAGGTATCATTTGATCTCCGGCTGCGCCTGACACTATCTCCGGGGTTCCCCACCGGTTTATATTTAGGCAAAACTATTGTTTGCCATTCAGTGTTTAATATGACCAGCCCCTTTTCTGGATCTGTCCGCATACTTGAACTGTGAGGGAAGTGAGATATATATTTTGAAATTCCATTATATGCATACAAAAACGCAAAACCCAATATAACTAGTAAAATACATATAATTTAACAGGAAAAGCCGAGTCCATCCAATAGCGCTGCATGTGAAAAGGATACGGCGGGATAAAGGGTACACGTGGGACAGCATAACGGGAATTTAGGTGATGCTAGAAAGGCGAGAAGAAATTCCATATCTAATCGGTCACTCTCAGTCGTCTTCCCAACTTCTCTAATTCACCAATTACACCACCTCCAGCCAAGCTCCATTTCTCGCCAACCCATTCGTCGTTGATCTTCTCCCGCAGGAGGCCACTGCGAGCAAAATATTCCATGAAGCCCCGAGCTTCGTCCCGGGTGAGACCGCCAAGGGTCTGGAGCTCCAACAAGCTTTCTTTGGCGACAGTGGGCTTCGAAGAGTTAAAGGCATCAATAACACGCTTGTCAGCTCCACTGTATGGATCAGCTTGAGGGAATTCAGGTGCAGATGCATTCAGGCCAGCCTGGCGAGCAGCGATTTGCTTGAGCGCAACCTCAAAACTGTAGATCGTTGGGTTATTAGAAGCAGAAGTAGAGTAGAGCAAGAGACCGCCATTTGGAAGGGCAGGCTTTCCAGTACCGGGATTCAATAGCCCGAGGAAGTGCCGCACGAACACAAGATCGTGAGCATGGACGGGCTCAAATTCCGCAGAACGGTATTCACTGTTCTTCATCCAGTGAGACAGGCCGTCAACAGTTACAAGAATAGGGGGCCGGGGCTTGAAGTTCTTGTCAGATCCAGAAGCAGGGGAAGTTGCAGTAAGCTCGGACCACAATGCTTGGAAGACGGTCCAGGCAATAGCGGGGTCCTGGATACCAAGTTTGGCAAGCTCCTCCAGAGTCATTCCAGCTTTAACAGAAGACTTGAGGGCTAGATGCTCCTGGGAGACGTGTAGGGTCCTCAAAACCTGTTCATTGGCGGCGACTGTGCGAGAGAGCAATGCAGCGGTCGCCTCGTTCTGAACATACAGGTTTGGAGTTTCATCAGAAAGAGGGGCGTAACCAGTATGCGCAATTACCAGATCCTGGGCTGAAAGGACATGTTAGAAAGCCTTGAAGTAGACACGTATGGATGGTATATACTTACGCTCTGGAACAGTAAACACAACCCACTGCTTGGTAAATGCCATGGCCATGGCTTGCAGCAGGTGAACAGTTTTCCCTGTCCCTCTGACACCAGTGACGATCTTTTTGACAGACTTTCCCTTGTCTTGACCCTCATTAGAGATAGCGTCAATCAGTCTGCCTAATTCCACTGTCTCCCGTCTCACGACTGTGCCAGGCCGGCGAAATATCGACCAGCCCTGTTTAGGCTTGAAAGCCTCAACCGCTCTGAGTTGAGTGAGCATCGGCACAGGAAGGCCGAGGACGGATCCCCGGAGGCGCGCATCGACCATAGTCTCCGATGTGAAGTCCTGCATGCCATCGACTTCAAGGGCGTTGGGATTGCTGAGAACGATACGTTTCCGCAGCGCTTTCCGCTCTCCGACAGGAGGCGGACGCGCCCTTTCAACCGGCTTCTTCTTCTTCATTCTGGCGGACTTGGCCTGGCGGTACTTGGGTGGACCGTCCAAGCTGTTTTTCTTCTTCGTTGGCAATGCATAACGCACCGTCGATGTGTGGAATGCTGCTGCTCTTGGAGCTGCTACCGGCGGAGGTAAAACGGCTCGAGGTGTCGGACGAAGCCGCGTCAGGCAGCCCCAGCAGAAGGAAGAAACCATTGTGCTGCAACACACTGGCTCAACGGCCAGTGGTATGACGGTCAATGGAAACTGCTGTAGGATAAAGGAAGGGTAGGCCGCGTTGATTGTTGCCCAAGCGTATGAACTGGATTGAAATTCGGAGCACAATTTGGAACTTCTAAGATTCCTCTGATTACCTATTCGAGGTTAGTCTAGTTGCCGCAAGCCCAACTCCGAAGGCGGTCTGTCATTATTGTGCTCGTCTTAAAGCGGCTCCCCTAAATTTATCAACCAACTTTTTTTTCCGCTTCAGTTTTCCTATCGGCTCGTCAATCTTACAAACCTGTCGCACTTTACCTAGCGCATATACTACCTCGTTGGATTCAACCGAGGTGCGCCTGACAATGTCGGAAATAAGAACAACGACGGCTGCCTCCGCGGCGCCAAAATCGAAGCCCGAGAGATTGTGAGTCGCTATCTATAGTAGTCGATGTATAGATCGTTATGTATGAGGTATACTAATTGCAATGGCACTTCAGACCCATTACAGTCTCTAAACCTACTCCATACACGTTTGATCTCGGCCATCTCCTTGCGAATGACCCCAATCCCCTCGAAATATCCCGCTCCGAACCTGTTAATGTCTCTCTGAAGGCCACCGCCCGCGATGGTGTGCAGTCTCTCCTTAACCAACTCCTCACTACTTGTCCCATTACCTCCTCACAACAGGGTGTGCTCCTGACGCTTCCTGCGCCCACAACTGTTCTTCCCAGACACAAGCCTTTGCCGACACCCAAGCCTCCCACCAAGTGGGAGCTTTTCGCACGCAAGAAGGGCATTGGCAGATTCAGTGGCAAAGCTGGTGCTGGACTTGCGGACAAGGAGCGCCGGAAGAAGCTGGTCTATGATGAGGAGAAGGGTGAGTGGGTTCCTCGCTGGGGCTATAAGGGAAAGAATAAGTCGGATGAGGATTGGTTGGTCGAAGTAAACGAGAAGGATTGGAAGAAGGAGGAGGATGCTGCGGCTAAGGGCAGCTCGATCCGTGGGATGTCACGGGCTGAGCGTAAGGAGAGGATACGACGAAACGAGAGGAAGATGAGGAACAATGAACGGAAATCCAGGAAGTCGGGTGGTGGTTAAGAGATGTGTTGTACAACTTGTTAATCAAGGCTCTTCCGTTGGGCTTTGGCCAAATTCCTCAACTCTTTATTTGTCTGGAATACTGGGCTTATCGGGCGTTTGGATTGGAGTCGCCGGTCTTTGATGTCTCATGTTGCCTAAATGGATTACTGCCATTTTGGGCTCAAAAAGTAAAGCAGCTGTGTCGGATTTTAACACTTTATTCTTTGTCCTTGCCTAGTGCCCGAGAACAACGCATGTATATTCTGCTAGCATATTTCTGCGGCTCTATACCTAGAATCTCATTCTTGTAACGCAATAGGAAGTATTTGCTATTCCATCAGATTCTCTCAATGTGACGTATGGCTTTATCATTGATCTATGTTACAAAATATGTACCAGCACAGCACTCCAGAAACATGCAGTTAAAAATGAACCATAAGGTTAAGGTACCAAAACAAGCTCCTATGTGGGGAATCAATGAATGTATAAAAATTTCAAGAGCAAAAATACATCGATGCGGTTTTGTAGATGTCTGGGGTAAACACACGCCAAAAGATACGCAATAATAGAACGAGAAAAGGAGGCCAAAGATAGGGGGGAAAGAAAGAAAGAAGAGACATGAGGAAAGAGAACATGATTGGATGATGAAGGGAAGACCAATTCGAATTTGTACAAGCCAAACAAAAGAGAAGGTAGAGTATAATAAAATAAACGGACTCCGGAGGCGCCAGACATGCACACTGATAAGAAAGGTTAAAAGGGGAGCAAAAAGGGCTAGAAACAGAAAACAAACAGAGATGAATGGAATAAAGCAGCCCGGGAAATCAATTAAAGTAAAATAGAAAAAGATCGCGAAGATTCGGGTTCGAAGTACGGAGAATATCGCTTGCAATGCGAATACAGTCCGAGACTTTGAACTGGCAATTCTCAGGTCTCAAATCTAAAAAGTGAGATATGCGCAGGCCAGCCTGGCCGAAGAGCTCAAATGTGCAATGCCAGAATCTATGTGCGTCAACCCACAAGAAAATCTAGAAGTTTCATATCGACGGAATGAAGGGCTCAACCCATCAAAACTGAACAGTGGCTCTTGGCTGGGTTGTTCTCATATCTGAATAGGAGACAGCGGAGGTCCTAATTCAGGAAGCTGGGAAATACTCCTAGTATGTGCCGTCTCAATGTTCTTGGGTTTGTTCTTGCGGCCTTTAGCCGTCTCAGGACGAGAAGGTTGCTCTTGAATGGAAGGCTGGCTGCTACCAGAAGAAGATATAGCTCTCTCTTCCACACTCGTGGCCTGTGGAAAACTCGCACCTGTGTCCTGTTTTATATGCGCTAACTTTTCTTTTTCGTCCATTTCCTTTTCGATCTGAAGATATTCCTTCTCTGTCCAGCAACCCTGCCAACAGTTTTTCCAGTCACAGACAAGAAAGTTGAAACAGAAGGCATCTATCTTCATGCAAGGCTGAAAGCAGATGCAGAGGTTGCGATAGTCCATCTTGTTTTGATCGACATAGGAATGCAGGAGATTTAAGTGACATGTGATGGCGAAGAGAAGATAGTAATGATATGGGGGTAGCTTTGAAAGCTCATCTTTGAGCATCTGTGGGGCAGTGGTTGCGCCTTCGCATTTGTCGGCGATCATGGCCTGTGTTTCTTTGGGGAAAAGCTCATCGGGTAATTCTCGAAGCCAAGCCTTGAACATGGAGCCAATCGTATTGATGTCATAGAGGTCCGGTACATCGAAGAGGTTGATGTCAAGCTCTGGATGAATGTTAAAACACACTTACTTCGCAGAGGTCTACCTAGTTGACTTACCAGTATCAAAGCGCCGTTGCCAATGCTTGACTTCTTTTCCGCTACCCGGAACACGATAAAGTCCCTCTTCCTCACAGCCCTTAAAATTGAGGTAACTGATGTAACGTTAGTAACCCACCCATTTGAACGGAAATGCGTGGGAACTTACTCAATGCAACGATACGGTAAAGCTGGCATCCAAAACTCAGTCTTATCCTTACAATCCTCAAGCCGCTTCGCGATACGGGTTCGACGGGCTTGTTCAATAAGCGGCAAATTGATCACGGAGCAGACATAGTTGTCATCATTAATGAGTTCCCGCTCATTGGTACTGCCACTTCGTGTGATCTTCCCAAAAAACCCCTTTCCTGCCTTGCCAATTCGATCTGCAGCACCACTCGATGACTGCTTAATATTGTTGAACAGCGCCGCTGAAGCGCCCGATACTTGACTCAGGGAAGCTGAAGGAACCATTGACCCGCCATATCTGTCCTTTCGTATCAAGCCACCGTTGACTTCCGTAGGACGGTCAATTGTATAACTGCGGACATGAGGGTTCCCTGTGGGCTTGACTTCTGCTGATTTCGGGGGCGTTTGTGCCTCCCTCTTGGCGCTTTCTTCAAGTCTCATAAGGCTGGTGGACGGACGCCTATGCGCAATCCTGTTCACAGAGGAGTCGTCCAATCTGATTGATCGAGAGCGGGAAAGGAGATTGGCAAAGCGTGGTTTGCTCTTCTTAAGAGTATGACCGGACTCAGACTCCGTCCCAACTCGCTTAATTTCCGCTTGTTGCGCGTTCTTGTCGTCGGAAGAATGACTGTCTAGAATATGTCAGTGTATTCAAACGAAGCGACATACACAACTAGGTGCTTACTATTCTCTTGTTGCGCCGCACGTTCAATGGCACCGGGAAGGTCCGGAGTTGACTCGTACAGCTTTGATGATATCTGTGTTCTGCGATCCCTAGAACTACCACGGCTCCTAGGCTTATCGCCCGAATTTCCCGAGCTATCCGATCTCTGGGCCCTGTGAGAAACCTTCGGTGCCTTTAAATTCGCAAAGAACGAACGCGAAGGGTCACGACTGTGTTTAGGGGAATCTCGTGGAGAGGGAGGGTATTGAGGAATAGCCGTGACGCCTTGAGTAGGTGATTCTGCGGTAAGGCCGGGGGAAACTGGTAGGATAGGGCTATTTGCTTTGCTATTCGATTCTTGTGTGACAGAGCGGATTGTGGTGCCCTTGAAGAACGTTGAACTTGAGGAAGATTTGGGTGATCGCGGCGTCAGGGGACTGTGTCCATCTGAGCTTGCACCAGGTGTATGTGGGGACGAAGTCTTTGCGCTCGTTTGGAGAGTGGAAGGGCTGAGATCTAAATTCGGAACAGTGGACTGTCTAGACGGCATCTTAGACGTTGATCGCGGGTCAGATAACGGCGTGGACAAATCGTCAGGGGTAGACCGGCAAAAGTGATACACCAAGCGCTAACTGAATGCTAAAGGACAAAAAAAAAACGATTAACCTATTATTTACAAAATCATATGTTAGCACGGAATGCACGTAAGTTCCCAGTTAATCGGTGGTATTTTTGGGATGCTGAAACAGACTAACCGAGAGACCCCAGATTCTAGAACTTACCCTTGTTCTAAAAAAGTTGGCTCTTTCTAAGTCTTTCGGGCGAGAATATCCTAAATTTATCCCTTTTTCAGGAAGAGGTGAAGCCCCATGTATTCTTGGAGTATATTGAGAGAGATCGCACGGTAAATACACCGACTGCAACGGGACCAGCCTTGCGAATAAGTTTCCTAAATGTCGGTGTCGAAAACGCTGTCAAAGCAAACAATGATCGTACGTGGAGGAGAATATCTCGGAGCGACCGCGTCTAAGAAATAGTTGCATGGTCATCAGCGATCCAGGCCAGAAACAAAGATGGCTTTGCGTTAAAGAGATAGGAAGAAAGAGTGGCGTGCAGCAATTAACGGTAAGGAGCGTCGATAAAAGAAGGGGAAGGGGGGGTTATGAATGCATGAAGCCATCACGAAGGCTGACATCGTCATAATTTACCCCTTGGTATGCGTCAAGAAGAAGGGAGAGATTTGAAGTGAATTAATTATGTGGTTATAGGAGAGAACAGTCGATTGAATCCATGACTATCCTACCATCAAAAGCAGATGAGGGTATCTTAATATCTTAACGTACCAGAATGCGCAGCCCCTCATATTAGGAATTAGACCTTCTGTCTTGATTGAATTTCTTCCCAATCCACACCCGTCTCTTGTCCAACGGTACTCTTTGTGTGAATTCCTTGGTCGCAGTTGAACTCAAGTAATGATGTCCTATTTTTTTTTCTCCCTTGACTTTTTTTTTTAATCCTTGGGCTGCGGAGCGGCGTTCAGAGGGCGGTCGGTAAAGAGAGGAGCGACTAGCGTGCTATCGTCGGATTGTTAGAGTGAGGACAGAAGGCTACCTAAGAATAAAAACAAAAAACAAAAAGAAAACAGGAATTTAACACCGAAGAGAGATTGAAATGAATGGGAAAGAGAGAATGGTAAACGATTTCCCAATAATAGAAATTCTAAGGAGATTGATTGTATGGAGTTGGTCGTCAAAAGCCTTGACACGAGAGAGTGATTCTCGCACGGTTCTGTAAGTGCTCAGACTCGATACATTCCTTGACAGCGTTATGCAAGCGCGGCAGTGTGTCAGGCTAAGAAGCCTCCGTTCTTTAAGGGGCGAACTGATAGTGGAGCTGGCGTTGTGCCAGGCTCCAGAATTGCTAGTACTGCGTGGCTTTTTAGAGCGCTATGGAAAAGCCTATTTGTATCTAGTGCACCGATGGGGTTTTCCGTGAGGGACGCGGTGGAAGTTATGTACAGAGTCCTCAAGTGCCCTATACAGACCTCTTCCTCTTCGTCTAATATTTTTCTTTTTTCCTCTTTCCAAGTTTACGACTTACCCGGCTAATGTTGGAAAGTAACCGTATGAACCAAATTAAAACGAAGGAGGCAAAAAAAAAGAAGAAATAAAAGAAAATAGAAGGAAGAGAGAGAATTAGCTTCTTGTGTCGAGGGTGACGTTTGGTCCAACCCACCGACCGATCGTCGAGCTAGTTGAAGTATCAGAAGTTAGAACATGTTCAGGTCATTGGAAGATAGTGACATTGTGTTTGATGATATAATCCTGTCTACTTTGTACTCCCTTGTTCATGACATGGATGCTTCCCAATAGTTAAGATTGTAGGGTTATCTAATAAGTAGGCCTATATAGACGGTTATACATTATGGTGTTCTGTGGCTTGCCATAGCCCCCTAATAGACTATGCAGAGGAACACATGGTGTATAGGTATACACCGAAAGATCGGGAAGACCCATCCAAATAATAGAGTGGTGTCATTGATTGGCCTAAAAGATTGGGCCTGGCAGCTGGTGCCTTGGGCGGGATGATGTACGCTCCGACGAAGATACAGTAATTGCAGCAATGGATTGGTTGACCGGATATGCCACTGGGGCGCCGTTCCATGGCATGAGCGAATCAACGGCCAAGACTCGACGCGAACGAGGTGCCTGGCGCGGAGACGGTCATAGCATCACTAGGGTGTATTTAAGTAGGCTTGACTATCAGTTACCACAATTACACTACAAAGTCAAAATCATCTGTCCTGATTGTTCAACATTTTCTTTATACTTGTGTTGCCATATCTGAATGTTTGCACGGAACAGGTTAGTCCATGAGGGAAAGAATGAGAGAAAAACAAATAATCCCCATTTTTCATGTATCGGCTGATCCTTCAGAGCTTCAAGTGGACTTGCTACCACGGTTCACACATGACATCGTGATACCGCGAGTGGGGATGATATAAAAAGTAATTTGTACCAGAGAATAAGAAAGGAAGATAGACACACATATAGGCAATGCCCCGCCAGGTATCTTCTTTACCTAAAGAATAGAGTAAAAGAAAAGGCAAAAAGAAGCAAAAATTAAAAAAAAAGAAAAAAAAAGAGGAAAAAAAACAGTTGCTGGATTGCTGGAATGCTAGAGTAAAACCTGCCATCTATTCTAAGATACCTATGACTTTGCCCGTTACGTACTCCGTACTGCATGCATTGAACGGTTTTTGCTCCCTCTCTTTTCTTTTTTACACGGAGAACTCCGTACATTGCCGTACTCTACACCATTAATAAATTGTTCATAAAAAGTGGAGAAAATATATATTATTGGGTCATTAACTAGCTCCTATAGGTGTTCTCAATAGCATACTTTTACATTGTACGTACTTAGTTAACTAATGTACATACATAATTTTTTTTTAAATTATATTCTGAGATGGAGACAATACAGTACACGTGGGAAGGATTTACTATTGTGAAATCCAGGATCCGCTCCTGTACTCATGTAGTCTCTCCAGACACCACTATAATACTGCAAAACTGAAACAGGATTACTATTATTACTACTATGGACAAGTACCATCAGCAGGTATATTGCTTTATACCATGACCAACCCGGACCTACATTAGAACCACAGAGAGCTAAGAGACAAAAAAAAGATCAGCAGCCACTGAACATGATTAACTACTACCAAACACAGTTGAGCAAAAGCAGGGACCCAGGGGCAAACCGTAAGCGCTCAGGGGTTACTGTTCACACCGCTGGCCGCCCTGGCGATCCCACCCAAAAGACTGCCTGAAACATGGCCCCGCTTATGCGCCGGCGGTTCAACACGGTGGCGCTAAGTCACGTGGAAGAAAGCCCTCCTCGTCTTCGGTACCCGACCACACTCATCTATCCCTGCCAGAAAGCTTTTTTTTCCCTTTTCACCTCCCCGAATCTCACTAGCTTGCCGAAACAGTCACAGCGTTTGCCAGTGGTCTGTCTTGCCCTTGTCTACTATATAGACGCTACAACCACTGACGGTGCCTTGAAAATCAACCTTTCATTTTGTTTTCCAAAGACCATGCACGGCGCACGTAGCCTGTGAAGTCTTGATTGTCATTCTATCTTTTCCTCCCTTAAACCCTTAGCTAAAATCTGGCTGCCTGAACACTGAGCTGCCCGTTTTTATACTCTAAACTAGCTGGCTTTGTGCTGGTGATTGAGCTACTAACTTACACTACCCCCGCGTAAATTATGTCCCTAGCCTCGGGGGGTGGTCAGACTGACCAGTATCTATGTGTTCAAAAACACGTAGAGTACATTAAGAATCTAGACAGCGTGCGTCATTCTTACCATCTTTTAATGATGGGGAAGATGGTTGACAGGTGATGCTAGAGGAGGGATGAGCTTGAATATTGGCTCACGGAGCATCTTCGGCTTAATGGGATCTACTGGGGCTTAACAGCCTTGCATCTTCTCGGCTGTCCTCAAGCCTTGCCTCGTGAAGACACGATCAATTTCGTCCTCTCCTGTCAGCGTGAGAATGGTGGGTTTGGGGCTGCACCTGGACATGACGCTCATATGCTGTACACCGTCTCTGCTGTCCAAATCCTTGTAATGCTGGATGCAGTGGATGAATTGGAAAAGCGTGGCCTTGGAGGCAAACAGAAAGTTGGCTCTTTCATCGCTGGATTACAGGACAAGGAAACCGGCTCGTTCATGGGTGACGAGTGGGGTGAGCTGGACACACGTTTCTTGTATGGTGCGTTCAATGCGTTGTCACTCTTGGGCCTCCTGGATACTATTGATGTCCCGAAGGCCGTTGCCTATGTCCAGAAATGTGAAAACCTGGATGGAGGTTACGGCATCCACCCTGGTGCAGAGTCACATTCTGGACAGGTCTTCACCTGTGTAGGAGCTTTGGCGATTGCCGGGCGATTGGACTTGATTAACAAGGACCGCTTGGGTGGTTGGCTTAGTGAAAGACAGGTGGACAATGGAGGCTTCAACGGACGTCCGGAGAAGTTGGAAGATGCATGCTATAGCTGGTGGGTTGGGGCCAGCTTGGCCATGATTGACAAGCTTCACTGGATTAATGGCGATAAGCTTGCTGCATTTATCCTGCGTTGCCAGGTTAGTTCCAACCGAATTAACCACATGTCGTGTTTCTAATCCAAACTAGGACCCGGAGAATGGTGGGTTTGGAGACCGGCCTGGTAATATGGTCGATGTTTTCCATACACACTTTGCCCTCGCCGGGTTGAGTCTCCTGGGGTATGATGGTGTTGAAGAAGTAGATCCTGTTTAGTGAGTTCCCTGTCTCCAAGTTCCTATGGCCCCGGGGGCGCTAACGATGGCTAGTTGTATGCCGAAAGCAATAACAAAGTGTTTATCTAAGTGACAACGGTTGCTTACTCGATTATTCGTAGTTAGCACCTCCTGCAATCTAATAACCCATTTTGCCTTCATTTCATGGATTATGGGATACAAGGCAGGAGAAGAATGATTGGCACTGTGACTTATTTCCGCTTCATACCCCCTCACAGTAACCTGTTGAAAAGGTTGTTAAGACACAGTGGCACACGATATCATGTAACCCATAATGGTAGCAGTGTCTTTTATCTTTCAATACGAATTCAAATTGTACAATTGAGAGATGACTTGAGGTTCCCAATTTTATTCATTCATTTGCTCTTGCCTGACGCCCTTGAGGCTCTTTTCAGTGGTAAATGCTACTGTATGTACTTGAAACAAGTATTATCGGAGGTCACGGTGCAGTGCCTTGTCTGGTCTAGTCGTGTTCAAGCAGGTGCCTGCCCAGTTGGAATTTTGTGAGGACGTTCCTTCTCTAGTGGAACAGAATATGTCTTTGTCCCCATTCTAGCACCTGCCCTGCCAGTTTTCGATTTTGCAGGGCAAGTCTTTTGATATCTTCTGTCCACCGCCGCTACCCAAATCCATAAGGAATGTCTAGTGTGCGCTACGAGGGCCAGTCTTTCTATATTGGCTTTTCGCCCAGTATTTGGATTGTTTATGTTTTATGCATGCAACGACTTGCACCTGGCAGCTCTAACCTGTTGCCTTCTTTGATCTTGACCTGATTGGCTCTTTCACTTTCTTTCAAGGTCATCTACGATGGATGCGGCTGCACTTTTCTGCAACATATGCCCCAAAAAACCCAAATTTAGTGATGTGTCCCATTTGTTGACGCACGTTTCATCCAAGGCTCATCTTTCTCATTGCTTTAAATTACAAGTCCGCAGTCATCAAGAACCCCAAGCTGTTATCCTCCTTGATGAATATGACCAATGGTACAAGGCTAATAATCTTGCGAAGTTGCTCTCTGACCGATTAGCCTCGAAAGATGCTCGCAGGAAAAGGATCCAAGGAACGGCTGCATCTCATGACAAAACGTGCCCTGCAAAGGAAGGTCATGAGCACAAGAGTCCTCCAGTGCCGGTACGCTCGCCACATGACAACGCGCTTCCTGCTTACTTAGATCCACGTCTTGTTACGTTAGGTGTGGATATGGAGCATGACTATAGCGACAGAGGCACATATGTCTCTGTGGACTGCGTCGCTGGGGTTGCTTCTCCAAATCGTGGTGTGCAAGCAAGCGCGGAATCGGGCCATTTATTGCACCCTACGCCTAGTTCTCAAATCCCCACAGAAGCCGCGGCCTACCAGTGGAAGCAAGAGCGTGTGCTTGGTTCAGATGATGAGGGAGGCTCTGACTTGGAATGCACGCCTAGTTGGTCTAAAATGCTGGGGCACACAGCGCAAATGGCCTCGCAGTTGCTAAATCGACAACTACTAAGTTACGATCCCCTTGTTGACGATACCGAGAGCGAAGTGGACAAGGAAAGGGTGGATGAGATCGCTAGACTCAAAGGTGTTCTTTGGCCGGGAATGGATATCTTTGATTCGGCCACCGAGCAAATGAGGCGCAAACGCAATCAGAAGAAGGATGAAAGTGCTCTTAGGATGATGGAGAAGACGTCCATGGGTGTCGAGCCTACAGAACTCATATTTTCCCCTACCGGGATCTTACGGAAACAGCGTGTGATCTCTGGTAATGTAGAGGACAGCAGTCCTCTGAAGGGGGAAACACCCATACCAAGGCGGAGATCAACTCGTTCGAAACGTGTCCTCTCTCAAACCGACGCCAACATTCAACGTGGACGGGACAGGAAGCGGAAGAAGATAGCAGTTAAACGTGTCCCGATCACCGTTGGGCAGGGCTTGAATCACAGAGATTCATATTTCACGCGAGCCACCTCGACTGAAGCGCCAACCTGTGGTGGTAATCAACTAACTCATGGAGAGAGCGCCGACGACTTCGCATTGACATTCAATGGGCATGAGCCTAGGACGCGCACTGGGCTAAAGATCTTTTGTGACACACCAAACCAAAATATTTCAGACCAACATTGTGGTGATGGGTTGCACTTTGGACTAGCTGCATCTTCTGATGCACTCTTCCTGCAACAAGAGGCTATGACAACTCGCACTCCTAACTCGGTACTTTCCAGCAATTATATCTCAGAATTTGCAGAGAGGCTTTGCCGTTTCACTACAGACAAAGAGAATATTGAACCGCTATCGGATGCTCATGGCCGAATCGATCCTCTTGTAGGCTGGCACTCTCCCGTCATCAAGCGACATCTAGCCAGTGATGCTGGTTATCCGTCACAGTTCCTTTTCGGCGATAGCCAACGCATCGAGCTAAATATGTTCGATGGGCACGATAGTCATGTACGATATTCTTATAATCCGCTAGCAGCCTCATTCCCAAAACTGTCAGCTGAAGAGAATCCTATATACACTATGGACACCAGCAATGGTCTCTCTTTTCAGGATGCAATGTACGTGACATCCCCTGAGGCGACCATTTCCGATATCGAAGAAGATGATTTTGAGCGACTATATTTGGATGGGAGCTCCTGCTAGGATTTGCCATTGTTATGCCCTCTTTTCTTACCGCACTCTTGATTACTGCTTGCATTCTGATTGTTTTCTATACTACAAGCCCGTTTTACGGCAGAATCGGCCCGAAAGCCATATTGTGCGATTCAAAACATTATACACCTTGAACCTAATGGACCTGACCCGAATACTAAGGAGTTATACACTCTGGCCATCATTGGCGTTGTATCTTGGGCAGGCCGACTTTTCGCGTACCATCTAGCAGGATTCAACGAGGGGATGGCCAATGACAGTGTCGCTGCTGCATAAAGATGGAGACCTGCGCTGAAATTGCCCGCGTATAATTATAGCCGACGTTCTATAAAGCATGAATAGTGATTCATTGCGATCGATGCACATGGCTGGGTGAGGCATCAGTACCTACTCACGCACCATTTCAACTATCAAATGCATAAATTATGCTTCACATAGATAATAAGTCTTATTTTGTCATCGTCTTGCCCTGTCAGCTATTGGTTTTGCACTGAAGGCATAATAACAGTAGTGACTTACGTACTAGTGTATGCATGAACTGTGTAGCCCCATCATGGATCATGGATATCCCGTCTGCTTACCCAATTGTGATCATCTTTGGTTTATGGTCGTACTCTTGCAATAGAAAGGGAATACTTGGTACATCATTTGACAAGGTTCAGGGGTTGGCTATATAAAGGGGTCAGCCACTGCTGATGGAGTTATGGTGGCCTGCACAGTCATCGCCGGGGGGGGGGGTGATATGCTCTGTATGACTTCGCAGAAGACTCTTCGAACAAGTAATCCGCTTACGTTTGATTAATCCTGCCCTACCCATTTTATTTTCTTGAGTAATTTTTCATTATCCATATCTCTCATCTGTGATCTCTCATACCGAATAACTGCTGGTTTCTAAACAAACGGTGACTCTTCGACTATAGACCATCGTACTTGGTACGTCCTGAAACATCAACCACCAATACTCCCATCCCAACCGATCCAGTCGAACGTGTTCAGCAGCTCCAAGTGCGGATAATCCGGGAATCCGTTCCCCAAAAACGGTACAATAGGCTGCGATTGCTCGATCCACGGCGGATTAAGAATTCGCTCCAAGATTCGACTCATAATCCTCTGGATTAGAGACACCACGTTCCCACAGGAAGCCTCGGTCTGGATCCATTCAAGATACGCCACTAATATACTAAGGTTCTCAATGATCTCTGATCACGGAAGATGTAAATAATATCTCTGAGGTTTGGTGGCTTGGTTGCATTCGCCGTTTTATATAGTTTTTTCTCCGGCGCTTTTGTTGTACTGCCCGCAGTGGATTTGACCACCCTCACTCCAAATCTTGAGACCTTGGGAACGAGAATGGGTATGTTGTGTGGCTTGTGGTCCTTGTGCGGTTCACCTGTTGCCGGGGCTATTCTAGATCATACGGGATTGTATCTAGGCATACAGCTGTACTCGGGGATTACTATCGGGGCTACGGGTGTGCTGCTGCTCTTAGCGAGGCTGCTGAAGAAGAATTGAATGAGCCTGATAATGGAGACAGAAGAAAGGATATTTGGTAAATGAAAGCGTAGACCGTCACTAGTGTGAAAATGTTCCTTGGTCCAGTCATTGCAAGACTGGGATTTTTATAGGTAGCTTGTCATTGATAATCCAGAGAAATATTACGGAAAAAGAACCAATCAATCCCTGAAGCTGCCCTGAGACCAGGACGAGCGCAGGAAAATAGACGGGAGATGGATATACTGAGCGTATAGAGGTGAAAGGAGGGATTATATGGGGCTTTTATTGATATTTGCAACTGGGTGCCAGCGGGGCGAACTACTATAGAAGAGTGTCAGACTTGATCCTCGACCGCGTATACGTTTCTCACTTAGCGGTAATCTACGAAACATCTCATGATGAAGCATTCGCCGTAGCCGGGCACTTCACCAGACCCCCCGCCTACTACATAGCTTCATGGTCTATATCTCTCTCCTGGTACTGATCACTTGTTCCATGTCTTACTGGCACGCTTAGAGCAGTGCCTTGATGTAGTAGCGTACATACACCGTCTGTGGGGTCAGAATGTCAGCCTTGTTGCTTTTTGTAGCATATGGAGTTTTGCCCCCCTAATAAAGAAGGTAGCCCTGTATGTGCATATCTCACTAAGGGATCGGACACAGCGTGGCTGCAGGATCCAGCTGGCAGGGTTGATGGAATGCCGAATGTAAATGGGACCCTCCTAAAAGAACCGATTTGCATCTGCTGGCGGAGATTTAGAAAGGTCTGAGTGGCTTGGATTTGGGTTCCCAGTTCATGCCGCACGGTAACTGAGACCTTTCCTGGATAGGCCAACCTCTTAGTACTTGTTTGAAATAAACGAAGAAGGGCTCTTGCCCTCAAACATGATCTCCAAATCGAAGTAGTGGATGCTTTTCTCCGAATGGATACCAATTTCGCCTAAGATCCTGCTCCGGTTGGAGAACATGCATGATGCATCATCTGGATGGTTATCTATATGTACCTGGGGCCGAGCTTCGTACGAGGGCATCAGTCCCATGACATTATACTTCCAAGGTTCCATCCTATTCAGCTTTTTGAGGAATGTATACTGTAGAAAATCAGACATATGCTCCTCATGGAAAAGATTCAATACACCTGGCGCCGTGTGAAACATGTCGATGTCCAAAAGTGTGGGTAGGAATATCGTAAGTCTTTAGTGGTCGTGTTCTATAGTTATATATAAGCTAAACTTCCTTGATAAGAGTTTGAAGTCATGCTTTTGGTGCATAAGAGTATGAACATGTTTAGTTTGGAGTTGTACAAGAAAATACCATACAATAATAGGGGCTTGATGTTTTTGAGGACCGGGGAAATTGACGGGCGAGCAGGCACAGATACTTAAGTACGATACTTTGTTACATGACCAGTACGCAGGTGAGCGCTCAGGGTGAAGTCATCTTTGGATCGCTCAGACATGCACCTTTGGTGCTCACCCCACGCTCCGGGCCGCTCAGTGAGCTAAAAGCGGCGCTAAGTCAGGCGTAAAGCGGAAAGGCAAGGTGGCTCAATTTCCACAGTGTAAACTAGCTACGTAACTAAAGTAAATGGAACGCGTCGTTTTACGCGTTAAGCTCCGAAGCCGCGGACTTGCAAAGGATTTCATTAGATATTTTGAAGCAGCTAGACCTTGATACCATGCGCGACAATTAACAGCTAATGGCAGCATGGTATTCTGGCCTCTAATACTTGTTTACTAGGCCTATCTCGAATGCTTTTTAAAAAAACTTATCGCCGAGAGCTTCCTTTGCCACCTCTTCCTTCGCCGCTGATTCATTACTCCATCTCGCCTATCTCGTTGATTTTTTCTTCTTCCTGGAGTATCAAGCAATAAAGCACATGTGTTGAAGCCTACGTGGCTTCGAAAAACAGCTGGGCAGTAAACGATGCCTTTATCTTCTCAACCGTCATCTTCTCCAAATTTGAAGCGAAAACAACCGACCATCTCGAGCTTTTTCACAAAGAAACCACAACTCTCACAGGAGAGCACTTCGAATGATGCTTTTAAAGAATATGAACGAGATCAAGAAGGGCAAGAGGTCACAAAACAGGAAAAAGCCTCGAGGGGAAATTGTAGTACTCGGTCAAACAGTGTTGATGATGAGGACGACGTAGTTGCTCCGGCGCCAAAGAGAGCCAGAATAAACGGGTCCTATTCACAAAATACCACCGAATCTCCAAAAGAAACTCACGTTGAGCGTCCTAGGCTATCGGACAATATCCCAAAAACAGAGCTCTCCAAGTTCGCCAGCTCGCCCGCTACGGAGGGAGAAACGAAAGAACGAACAAAGGAAAGAGAAAAGCTACACCAGAAGTTTGTGCAAAGATTAGGTGGACCAGACTGTCTCATCGGAATTGGCAGAAATACAGCCACTGAAGCAGTACCCGAGGAAGCTGGCGAAGGCGATGAGGGTGACGAACCCTCTCCGCCCCCTGCAGCTAAAGGGAAAGCCGCGACAAAGAAAGGCGGGCACAAGCTTACTCCTATGGAGAAGCAGATTATCGATATTAAGCGGAAACATATGGATACGGTTTTGGTAGTAGAGGTGGGATACAAGTTCCGGTTCTTTGGCGAGGATGCTAGAACAGCTGCGAAGGAGCTAAACATTGTCTGTATTCCTGGAAAATTCAGGTTCGATGAACGTAAGTATTGGCTTCAATGTATGCCCTACCTCTTTTCTCCTCGCCTTTACTCAAAGTGTTTTAGATCCTTCGGAGGCCCATCTTGACCGCTTTGCATCGGCAAGTATACCGGTGCATAGATTGCATGTTCATGTCAAGCGTCTCGTTTCGGCCGGACACAAAGTCGGAGTTGTCCGACAAATGGAAACTGCTGCCCTTAAAGCCGCTGGCGATAATCGTAATGCGCCCTTTGGACGCAAGCTCACCAATTTATACACAAAGGGTACGTATATTGATGATATGGAGGGCCTGGAAGGATCTACTGCGTCTATATCAGCCGCTGGCACTACAATGGCAACGGGGTATATGCTTTGTATTACAGAGACAAACGCAAAGGGCTGGGGAAATGACGAAAAGGTGCATGTGGGCATTGTTGCTGTTCAGCCAGCAACAGGTGACATAGTGTATGACGAGTTTGAAGACGGATTCATGAGGAGCGAGATCGAAACTAGACTCCTTCATCTGGCCCCTTGTGAGGTTCTTATAGTTGGTGATTTGTCAAGAGCAACAGAAAAGCTTGTTCAACATCTTTCTGGGAACAAGACTAATGCTTTTGGTGACGAGATTCGTGTTGAGAAGTTCCCTAAAGCTAAAACGGCGGCGGCCGAGTCACATAGCCATGTTTCGAGCTTTTACGCGGAGAGGATGAAGAATGCGAACACCACAGATGATGCGCAGGCGAGCAGCCTGCTTCAGAAGGTGCTTAACCTAAGCGAGCAGGTCACCATCTGCTTGTCTTCCATGATTAAACATATGTCAGAGTATGGCTTGGAGCACGTTTTCCAGCTTACAAAGTATTTCCAACACTTTTCCTCTCGGTCACATATGCTTCTCAACGCAAATACTTTGAACAGTCTTGAAATATATCATAACCAGACAGATCACTCCACCAAAGGCAGTCTTTTCTGGACGTTGGATCGAACGCAAACCCGTTTCGGGCAAAGAATGCTACGTAAATGGGTGGGACGTCCTTTGCTAGATAAATCTAGCCTTGAAGAAAGAGTGGACGCTGTTGAGGAATTGAAGAATCCAGAAAGGATTGCTCTCGTAGAACGGCTGAAGGGTCTGCTTGGTAGAATCAAGACTGATCTGGAAAAGTCACTGATCAGGGTTTACTACGGCAAGGTAATCCATGATGAACCAATTCCGCGATAAACAATACTAAACAACCCACAGTGCACCCGGCCCGAGCTTCTCACTCTCCTCCAAACTTTACAGATGATTGCCCAGGAATTTGCTGGTGTCCAGTCTCCTGCTGATACTGGATTCTCGTCGCCTCTCATAAGCAAAGCAGTAGCATCTCTGCCAACAATCTTAGAAGATGTCGTGCACTTCCTGGACAAAATAAACATGCATGCAGCGAAGAATGACGACAAATATGAGTTCTTCAGAGAATCAGAGGAGACAGATGAGATTACTGAACACAAGCTTGGAATTGGTGCTGTGGAACACGATCTTGAAGAGCATCGCTCCACAGTTGGTGAGTGTCTTGGGAAAAAAAAAGTAGAATATGTCACAGTTGCGGGCATTGAATACCTGATTGCGGTTGAAAACAAGTCACCGTCCATCAAAAAGGTGCCAGCATCGTGGGTGAAAATATCTGGTACCAAAGCAGTTTCGAGATTTCATACCCCAGAAGTTATCAGGCTTCTACGACAGCGGGATCAGCATAAGGAGGCTTTAGCAGCGGGTTGTGATAAGGCGTACGCAAGCTTCCTGGGTGAGATATCCGCCAGCTACCAATCTTTCCGTGATAGTGTACAGTCCCTTGCGACGCTCGACTGTCTAATTTCTCTTGCGACTATCGCTAACCAGCCCGGCTACGTGAAACCCGAATACACGGATCACACATGCATTCATGTTGACCAAGGGCGTCATCCGATGGTTGAACAACTCTTGTTGGACAGCTACGTCCCCAATGATATTGATTTGGACAGCGACAAGACCCGTGCTCTCCTTGTTACAGGCCCTAACATGGGTGGGAAGTCTAGCTATGTTCGACAAGTGGCACTCATAGCCATTATGGGACAGATTGGTTCCTACGTGCCTGCACAGTCAGCGAAGCTTGGTATGCTAGATGCTGTGTTTACCCGCATGGGAGCTTTTGACAACATGCTGGCTGGTGAATCCACATTCATGGTCGAGCTTTCGGAAACAGCAGATATCCTAAAGCAAGCGACACCTCGCTCACTTGTCATTCTGGATGAACTTGGTCGAGGCACGTCTACGCACGATGGTGTTGCAATTGCGCAAGCCGTTCTCGATTATATGATTCGGTCAATACGAAGTCTCACGCTTTTTATCACGCACTATCAACACCTTTCCTCAATGACACACTCCTTCCCTGACCATGAACTTCGGAACGTACACATGCGTTTTACCGAGTCGGGGTTGACCGAAGAAGAGATTACGTTCCTTTACGAAGTGGGAGAGGGCGTAGCGCATCGCAGTTACGGTTTAAACGTAGCGCGTCTAGCAAACTTACCAGCACCTTTAATTGAGCTGGCTAAACAGAAGAGTGCCGAACTAGAACAGAAAATACGCCGCCGGAGATTAGCTGGACTTGTGAGGACTTTTGGAGATGTCTTATCCGATCCAGCAAAAGCTGACGAGACTTTGATTGAACAACTCATCAGCAGCGCAGAGCAGTTATAACTGGATACGGTGGACCAAGGGAGGCCTGTCATGATCATGTCCCGATACCTGGTATTTTGAAGCATGTTAGCGTTGTTGTAGTAGAGACCATTATATGTATAATAGGAAAATATGGTTATAAACTCTACGGTTTGCCTGAAGCAGCTGGAGACCGGGGCAATTCTTCCATGAAATAACGCTCAGGGTCATGTACTAGTGGCTGAAGGGCGCTTTGTTAGAATTAAACTCGTTGGGTCTTCAATTATGCATGATATGCGCGTCCTTTCTTATGAGTAGTGCTACTAAGATGTACTCCGTACAGGGCCCGGAAAGCCACTTACGCACAGGCACGCAAAGAATGATTTAGGCTAATTAGTAGTATGTACTCCGTACTACTTAGTAGTATGCGGATCCATCAAATGCCGTCCTCCATAAAACCCGTCAGGAACATTGGCCACCAATAAGATTGCTGCTTTCGAGAGCATGCTTATCGGATTGCCTGATTCGTAGGGCATCACCGGCTGTAGGTCCCCACGGCCCTGTTGATACCTGAGGATATAGGCAGCAAGACCCCCACTTCCGTCCGCTTCACCGATTCAGAGTCTGCGGTGCTCCGATTTCGTTCGTTGCTCCGACCCAACTCGCTCCATCCCTGCGAAACACCCACTGAGTCATTTTACGCAGTGTAGGACTCATATATTGTCTGCATTGACTTAATCTTCTTTCATACTTGCATATACTATCAAATCTGCCCGCTACACTCCCTCCACCCCTTCCAATCCCTCCAACAATTACCCCGCGCGTTGATCGTCACTATGGATCTCGTTAACCAGTGAGTCAATCAACTCCATGCCACTATGCAAGCCCCCAGACAGGCAATGGCCTCCAATGTGTCTTCACATACTAACAACCTCTGTCCAGCCTCGAAGGAAGACTCCTTTTCGCCGTCCCTAAAAGCAAGTAGCCCGCCATGACTCACTCCACCACTCTTTCGCAACTCTTTCGCAACTTGCCCCAGTAGCCCTCCTACACCAAAACTGTCAGGAGGAAACATGAACTCCAGCTAATACGCATATCTCTGAATACAGAGGGTCGGCTCCAACAGGCAACCTTGGACCTCCTTGCCGGCGTTGACATTCAATTCCGTCGCGAAACCCGCCTCGATATCGCCCTTGTGAAGAACCTCCCTATTGCCCTCATCTTCCTCCCCGCCGCAGATATTCCCACCTTCGTCGGTGAAGGTCGCGTCGACCTCGGTATCACCGGTCGTGACCAGGTCGCTGAGCACGATGCGCAGCTGCCGAACGGCGAGGTCTCCGGCGTGGAGGAGATCATGGATCTTGGTTTCGGAGGCTGCAAGCTGCAGGTGCAGGTTCCGGAGAAGGGTGACATCGCCGAGGCGAAGCAATTGGTTGGCCGCAACGTGGTTACCAGCTTCACAGCCCTCACTGAGGCCTTCTTCGCCAAGCTCGAGGGTGTTGACGATACCAGCAAGCTCTCCACAAAGGTCAAGTATGTTGGTGGCAGTGTTGAGGCTGCTTGCGCACTGGGTGTCGCGGATGGAATTGTCGACCTTGTTGGTATGTTGATGATTTGTCACCATCCTAATCGCTGAAAATTGTCTAATATATGTCGCACAGAGTCTGGTGAAACCATGAAGGCTGCTGGTCTCAAGGCCATCGATACCGTCGTCGAGAGTACCTCTGTTCTCGTCAAGTCCCGGAAGGCCCAGAACCCTCTTGTCGAACTCATCGCTTCTCGTATCCGTGGTGTCATCAGTATGTTGCCCTCCCCTCTGTAACTCTCATCCATCCTTGCCCCTGCATTGACTAAGATGTCTTTTTTCACTACAGCCGCCCAGAAATACGTCCTGTGCCAGTACAACATCCCTCGCTCTGAACTCACCACTGCCTCCAGCATCACCCCAGGCAAGCGTGCCCCGACCGTGACCGCTCTTGAGGAAGACGGCTGGGTAGCCGTCAGTTCAATGGTTGAGAAGAAGAAGATCGCCACTGTGATGGACGAGTTGACTAAGGTCGGTGCGACGGACATCCTAGTCCTGAACATTGCCAACTCCCGGACGGGTTAGAGAAGGGGTTTCAAATTTTATCATGTCCTGTCATGCCTTGTTTTTTTCTTCGTTTCATTTTGGCATAAAGGCGTGTTTTATACTTTACAATTTCGGTTTTCATTAAAAAAGGGGTTCTATCTATTCTCTTTCTTTTGCTTAGATATCGGGACAGTTGTATGAGATGAATATAGACTACGGGGTTACGGTTCCCAAAGCAGAAGAGAAAAGTAGCAGATAGATTTGATGTATGTACAGTTTTCTATATAAACAGTAAATATATACAGATATAGCACCGCAGCACCTTATGCAAGATATAGTTCTTTGGGATAATGTGAAGATGTAATGAGATTTTGTCATTACTCGTATGATCATCATCGTGAGCATGATCCAAGACAAAGTCGGGAATAAGCATAGATAGGGTTTATTGTGTAAGGTGATAGAATGAGGATGATTTTTCCTCCATAGGAGAGGGGAGAGTGGGTATCGCTTCAAAGGGGGAGATAATATAGAAGAGGAAAGTTTATCATCAGGTCGATAATGGTGAATCGCTTATTCCTACACCCTCTCGTCTTCCGCGCACTAAAGCCCGAAGACATTGACCAACGCCTTCGAGATCGCCCAATAATCCGACGTGACCGCGATCGCTTTTTACCAGGCCATGTTTGATGATTCGATAGCCTGGGGGCAGCATTGCCGCAGACGCGAGACAAACACCGTCGCCTGCGGCGAAGGCGAGGTCATCGTAGGCATCTTGATGTTTAATTTGTTCGCGTGTCGAGATGCGCGCGCCGTAGACGGTAGGAACGGATTTGCCGTATAGAACTGCAAAAGGTGGGTAGCTGTTACTGGATTGATGAGAGGGATTGAATGCAAGTTCTTGCTTGAAGCGACGGACTTCGGAGAGGGTGCGTTCGAGATAGGTTATAGCTGTGGCTCGTGGGATGGTAACGGTAGTGGTGGATTTGACGTTGGCCGAGCCGCGGAGGTTGGACGTTGGGCCAACAACACCCTCAATGCTCGGGGCTAGCTTCTCGGCCGGGTCGGTAACGGGATTTGGATTGCTGCGACCGGTCTGGTTCGGATCTTGTTGATCGTCGTCAGGTATATCCTCAGATGGTAAGCTATCTTTGCTACCCAAAACAGCAGAGAAGCGTTTCCCAATGTTGCCTCCGAGAGCGAAGCCCTTGTTTGTCATGGGCGGGAGGGCTGGGTTGATAACGGGTGAGAGCCGGTATTCGTCCCAAGCCTGAACGTTGAAGAAGTCCACACGATATTCTTCTTTGGTGCGCTTGTCGATGAAACAGTGCCCATCTTCGGGAAGGAGGGCGAAGCTGGTCCGGAAGGTGAAGTTCACTTGAGCCGTCAGGACACGGGAACTGAGCAATACGTCGTCCCCATTGCGAAGAGGGCCTAGGATATTGACACAGTGTTGCGGGACACCGGCGTAGAGAACACCAGCAAAGAGTTCCGGACGCTGATTTACGGCGTGGCGGGTGATCAACCCTCCGAGACTGTGCGCAACAACATGAGCACCCCGCTTTTCGGGCGGAACACCGGGCGCATTACAGGGTAAGCCCTCCAGGAACTTGATCAGCTTTTTCGAGAGGAGATGTGGACTCAAGCGCCAATCGTAACCATAATCCCATACGCGGAGGTCACCTTTGACGGCATTCTCGGACTTCCGGAGGTGCTTCATCAGCCGACGGCAGATGTCAACTGGCCCGACGTGCGATAGAACTCCTGATGGAATAATCGTTTCTTCCATGCGCTCCTCATCCTCCGGGTTCAGGCCTACTTCAAGGTCCACTTTGCGAAGATTTAGCCCAACTTTCATTGGAACCCACAGTTGACGCTGTGGTGGTTTGGCGGAACGTAAGACAGATCCTCGGTAGCCCCCCATTATAACAACGTCACCAGTTAACGCGGACATTGCCTCATTTAATACGGGATGCCATGAATTGGAGTTAGCTCGCGGTGGACGCGCTCCAAATTGAGGTGGCGCTGGTTCTCGAGGCGCGTCGCTCGTAGCTGGCGGCTCATCGGCGTAATTGTTGCCTTTACGATTCGCAACATCTCCCAGGAACGGTTTATAGCCCCAGTCACTCCGCAAGTCTTGCAAGTGCAAGCTAGGCATGCTAAGCAAGCGGCTGCTTGAATCCTGTATACTATCCTTGATGGCCTTGAATCGGCTGTTGACTTGGGAGTGAATGTGCTCATACTGGGGCCGCTGATCAAGTGATGACGCAGTAGATGATGCTCTCAGATACAAGGATTGGTCAGAAGACGATCTCCTGAGCATCAATGGCGCACCTGAAACAGTCGCGCTGGGCCGACGGGTAAATGAATGCTTGGCTGCCGTCGCGCCGTCAAGGGGTTTCAGATCGGAGATCGGCTCATCAACGAGCACGTTATTAGAGTCGGAATCGTTCCAAGATCTGCGTCTTGGCTTGGCATGAGACTCTCCCTCTTCGTCAAGCGCCAACTTGGACGAGGAAGGTTTCAGGGTCTGACTGCGGGAGCGATTTTGGGAAGAGCGGAAAGGCAAAGAAGTCCGTTTAGTAAGATATCCTAAATCGGGCAGGAACTTCTTCATGGCATCGCCCGACCAAGCCCGAGGGCGCAGTGGCAAGCCATTCTTCAAGATCGACCGGGTGAAGCTGGTGCGACTGTTGGAGCCGTCCTTAGAGAACGCTGTTCCGTTTTGGTGTGCCACATTCTGGGGTGAAGTTGACAGTTGGCTAGCTTCCGGTTTCGAGGCCTGTGATAGTTGTTCTGGTTCATCAGTGATCTCGGAGGTATAAAGACCGCTCGAGTCGTCGGTGTCTGGAATGGGGTCAAAATAGCCCCCATTGTGTTCCATCGCGCGTGTCTTTTCCTCTGCCGGCGTGGAACGGGCCTTCATACGACTTTGGGCACGACTGATGCTGACCCCGACCATACCGTCAGCCTCGTCTTCTCGAGCGACATCCACACCGTTTACGACCGGCTCATCGCTGTCAGAGCTGGTATTTCCAGCAATTAAAGGTCTCGACAGAGCCTGCGAGGGCTCCCCAGCGGCATTGACCGGATCATGGCTTGCAGGTGGAGCTGCGGGGACAGCCATGTTGGAGGGCAATCTGAGGGATGACGGCGAAAAACTTCGGATCACACATGCAGGGAAGGTGATGCTGCGAATTCGACGATGCAAGAAAGTTATATATGAGGAAAGAAAGAAATACGCAAACGAAGAAATGTTCTGATAACAATGGTTGCAATGATAAAAATAACGATTCCAACAGGAACAATCTGCAGGAGTAATCACATGTAAAAGGCGTTAATGGTAATAGTCGAACTGGAGTCGAACTAATAACGGGCTAAAATGTTTGAGAGATGGAGCCAAAGGAATGATGCTTTATCTTGTTGGATATCGTATTCGTACTGCCGATACCAAGGAAACGGAACCTTTGTTAGCGGGTTACTTGGTTCGTGGCTTCCACGTTTAGTAATCTCAATACCGTTCCTTTTTCTCCGTTTTTTATTTCTTTTCTTCTCCCTCAGCCGCCGTTCCTTAACTCAATGGATCATTGATCAGTCTGTGGTTGCTCCAGTGGAGAAGTGTGTGTAATAGGAATTGGGAGAAGAGGGAAAAAGCAATAATAAAAAAAATTGAGAGAGAGAGAGGTCCCCACTACAGTGACTGCACAGCCTCCGGCAAGTCCGGAAGAAGCTTCCTGTACAGAGTGTTCTCCGTCAGTTTGTATTATTATTTTTCATACTATTATTATTATTATCATTATTCATGGTTGCGATTTCATGAGCAATAGTTTGAAATCTTAAACATCAAAACGGGTTGGCATGTGGGAAATGGATCCACAAACCCATCGTTACCATGAGGGTGGAAATTGCTTGTGTTATGACCCTAATAAAAAAGCAAGAAAAATGTGTTCATCATTACATCGTGTCCACAGCTTTTAACCGCGATTGAAATTTGGTTCGTGAAGTCATCTTGCATGCACCTGATCAGATCGGTCACATAAACTGTGGTTCCCGCCACGCATTTGATTGGTTCCATCTATCAACATAGATCTGGTTACTTATATTGAACTTCCGCTACTTCCGGGGGGAAATCGTCCCCTGTATGCGATAGACAAGGCATACTTTTTTTTATGTTTTTTGTGTTCGTATCCGTATAGAATCAAAATCATTGGTGTATATAGACTGGCTCTTAAGACTCAATTTAATACAGAAACTGCACCACCAATCTCATTTCCACCAATTGTCATGAACAATTTGAAAGTTAAGAACATATCCTAGAATACAAATTTGTCGTAGCGTCGTAACCCATAATCAGCCAGTGTGGTCATCTCAGTAAGCATTTCCTCGGCCGAAGTTTCCAGTGCGCATCTCTCGTTCACCTTGGCTGGCAATAGCATCGTTCTTTGCGACACCCTCTTCGTGACCAAACGTCTTATCTACTGCCGCATTTAGACCACCGCGGAGAGATTCTCCCATACCCTGTTCAAAAAAATGTTACAGAGTGTTCAAGCATAACCAGGGGTGTCACTTACGTGAGCGCCAGCAAAAGCTCCCTTCACACCGGAACCAACATCTACACCCTTCTGAGCAGACTTTGACCCAGGTGCGCTGCCGGATGACTGTGCCGGTCGGTATCCTACCCCGCTGGACGCGTACCCGGCACCAGTAGATGGCTCCGTGGCATTGGTCCCATATTGAGAATGAGTATTGCCCGCAAACTGGGAGCAATGGGGCTGGCTGGTTGTCTTGGAAGACACGTCGCCTGTTTGGGCGTCCACGCGAGGGTCGAGCTTGTTCATCATCTTAGATTCATGAGGACCAGCATTGGAGCCGCTGCTGAGCGAGGTATCATGCGTCGCGTAAGGATTCTCGTTACCCGTCGTTGTAGTGCCGGGGGCGTACTGAGCGCGGTTGTCGAGGTCACTGTCAACACGAGGGTCCATCTTGTTGCCAACCTTTGAGCTGTGGGGACCAGTAGTGCTAGAAGTAGTAGCCCCAGTACCGGCCAGGTGAGAGGTGTTATGGCTGTGAGTGGTTTGTGGCACATACTGAGCGCGGTTGTCGATATCGCTGTCAACGCGAGGGTCAAGCTTGTTGCCCATGTCAGATTCGCGGGGACCAGCAGTCCTTGAAGCAGGGCCAGTGCGAACATCGCTTGCTATGGTGCCTGGTGCGTGGCGGGCCCGGTTATCAACGTCGCTGTCAACACGAGGATCAAGCTTGTTACCCATATCAGAATCGTGTGGACCGGCAGTTCTCTGAGCATGTCCAGTACGAGTATTGCTCGACATGGCCCCCGACGCACGGTTATCTACATCACTATCAATATGTGGGTCAAGCTTGTTACCCATGTCGGACTCATGGGGTCCAGCAGTTCTAGGAGCAGGCCCTGTACGGGCATCACTGGCCATGGTGCCTGTTGCGTGACGGGCATGGTTGTCCTTCTCGCTGTCGACACGAGGGTCAAGCTTATTACCAGTGTCCAAGGTGTGAGGACCCGCCGTCTTCTGAACAGATCCTGTATGGGTGTTGCTAGCGCCCCCAGCTCCACCAATGCCAGCGTTACTTGACTTCTTCTCCTTGCTCAGGTCGCTATCCACGCGAGGATCGAGCTTGTTGGCTAGGTCGGATTTGTGTGGGCCAGCGGTATGTGGAGCAGGTCCTGTACGAGGATCGCTAGGATCAACGCCCCCGACTTGAGTGCCAATCGGCTGAGAAGAGCTGGGGTGTTGAGTGGGATCACCGAAGGTGGAGGAATAGTATGGAGGCTGCGTACTGCTCATGATGTATGTTGTATGTTGTACGTACGGTTGTGGACAATTGAATTTCTTTTAGACTAGTAACTCTTGTGATATTCTTTCATGGAATAGAGGAATGACTTTGCTTGGAACAAATCTAAGCCTTATGTGCTCCATCGCCCCCAGTTCTTATATAGTATTCGAGTTGTCAACACCCCAGACTATGCGACATCATACCTGATGTTCCTATGACGTCAGGGGGTATCCCAGGGGCAGTTCCAGCTGTTCTTCACCATGGAAGATATGCAGATCCTCATCTCTCTGGGAGCGGAAGATAGCTGTAAATAGAACCAAGTTGCATCAATGGCTGGCATTTTGCATCAATTAACGTTTCACCGAGGAACAATGACGACTTTTTGTCGAAGTAGAAAAGCAAAAAAAAAATGTTGTCTTATCGTCGATAACGATTTGATACCCGCTGAGGCTCTTACATCATCTTGGCTTCATACTTATGTTGATGAGTCAGCAGTGCTACTCAATTCGTTGATTTTCTAAGAAATCATCTCTATACCCATGGACGTGCCAACAGAGAGAGTTTTCTAGAAACCAAGGGTACACTGAGTGAGGGTAATGATAAGATTTACTGGGGTGTGGCCAGTTTGTGCTAACTTTTGGTGATTAGTGAACTTACCAATTCGGTTATGGAGTTAGCAGCCGAGGTTCACTGGTTGCTTTGTCTCAGCGACCGCTGCTGAATCTTTGTCAACGTTCACTCCCAGTCAGAAGATATCGCCTCTTTATATGTCTATCCTTCTCTCTTTACCTAATTTTGTTCATTGTAGAAGTTCCGAGAAGTACCACTGAGTTCGACCAAAATGCCTATCACCAACCGGCAAGCCATCTACGCCAATACGCCCTCCCCGGCAATCGATCCCTCCTTGTCGAACGGCACCTTCAAGATCTCAACCACAACTATCTCCGACAATGTCCCCGATGACAAAGTCCTTGTGCGCGTACACTACCTTTCGCTGGACCCGGCCATGCGGCAATGGCTCACAGCCAAGCGATCCTACATCGCCCCTGTCGAGCGTGGTAGCGTCATGCGCGGTCAGAGTATCGCTCAAGTGACCGGCGTCGGAAGCAACCTTAAAACTCAATACAAAGTTGGAGACTGGGTGATCGCTTACTCGGGCTGGCAAGAGTATGCCCTGCTGGGACAAAAGGAGGCACAGAAGGTGGTTATTCCTCCGGGATGCAAGCCGACCGATGCAATGTCGGTTCTGGGCATGACGGGTCTGACAGCATACTTTGGCATGACAGAAGTGGGACAACCAAAGCCAGGGGATACTGTCGTCGTCTCAGGCGCTGCGGGTGCAACGGGCATGGTGGCCGGGCAGATCGCTAAGATCAAGGGTGCGAAGAGGGTCGTTGGCTTGGCAGGCAGCGCTGAGAAATGCGCTTTCCTGCGCAACGAGTTAGGGTTTGATGCCGCTATCAACTATAAGGACAAGGATTGGAAGAAGCAATTGAAGGACGCAACTCCGGAGTACATTGATGTGTTCTTTGATAACACCGGAGGTGAGATTCTAGATGCTTGTCTTGCTCGGGCTGCGCGCGACGCTCGGTTTGCCATCTGCGGTGCGATCAGTCAGTATAACTCTGCTAAGCCGCAGGGTCCAGCTAGCTTTATGACTGTCATTGTAAGTTTCTCGTGCATTTTATACACTATTAATAGCTGCTGACGACATCCTTCTTAGTCCCAACGAGTGACCATGAAGGGTTTCATCGTCTTCGACTACGCTAAGAAATACCCGATTGCACTGAAGGACCTATCGGAATGGCTAACCCAGGGTAAAATCAAGCGTAAGGAACACATTGTTCCGGGTGGATTGGAGGGTGCGCCTCAGGGTTTGGTAGACCTGTATGGTGGTGTCAACACAGGCAAAATGATGGTCGAGGTGGCTCCAGTGAGCGAAGCGATTGGAACCAAGGCCAAACTGTAGGCAGCTGGTCTGTCGCATGTATATATCATATCTCCAGTCTAATAATGACTCGTTCGTGGCATTGTAATTGCCGTCTTCGTGGAATACAACCATTCACATCTAATTAAGAAACCATCGTTGTGAATATAAGAAATCTTCTTGATTCAGTAGAATCCATTTTCCTTGAAAGAACGAACATGTTGTATCACTTTCTAAGCTAGATCCATGAACCCTACCAGGGCACGCATCGTATGTTCATATTAAACCTTGAATAATAGAACAGCCATTACATATTGTCCAACACAGACTATATCACAATGACCTAAATAAGCTAATAATGACCTTAGCTCATCGTAAGGACACCAAAAATAGTCGGAACATATCCGACGCAGACTCGACGTCATACCAATGAGGCAATTCTTGCCTCACTACATTTCAGAACAACAACATGGATAACGACCAACAATTTACTCCATTGCGTACGCTGGGTCCGCCACTGATGTATAAAATTACTCTTTCTCTCCCACTCAGCTTGGTTTCAATTCCATTATGCTCCGCCAGAACATCCTCCCACGCTTTCTTAAATCGAGCTGTCCGGTCCGCTACAATCACAGATTCAGCTATAGCGCGTTCCAGAAGCCTCTCCTAGCCTATTCTAGAGCTCAATTCTCTACATCAGCATCTAATCTATTTACTATTACATCACGCCGAAACATGTCTGAAGCAATCAAAATGGAGGCCAAGGCAAGCAACGAGAACTTTAAGCTAGATAACCTCTTTAATGTTAAGGGGAAAGGTATGTTTCAAGTGTATCATTGTCCACGATATGATCCAGATACTGATGGGAACCAGTTGCCCTTATCACAGGAGGAGGATCGGGCATTGGTCTGATGGCCACTCAAGCTCTGGCGGTCAACGGAGCCAAGGTCTACATCACAGGCCGAACCGGCGAGAAGCTCGACCGCGTTGCAGAACTATACAACAAGAATATTCAGGGCCAGATCATCCCTATCACATCTGACATCACGGATAAGAGCTCGGTAGACAAGCTGGTGCAAGAGATCTCTTCGCGCGAAAAGTACCTATCCATATTGATTAACAACGCCGGCATCAGCAGCTCGACCCAGACGACCGAGAAGGAGGATCCTCAGGAGCTGCGTAAGGAGTTGTTCGAGAGCAGTGCGCTTGACCCCAAGGAATGGGATGATGTGTACCGCACGAATGTCACGCATCTCTTTATGACTACTACTGCATTTTTGCCGTTGCTTCAGAAGGGCTCCGAGCAGGAGAAGGGCTGGTCCAGCACTGTGGTTAATATCTCGTCGATTTCGGGTATTGTCAAAGTGTCCCAGCATCATTTCGCTTATAATGCGTCGAAGGCTGCTGCTATCCACTTGACTAAGATGCTGGCGCATGAGGTTGCTTCTTCTGGTCTGCGGATTCGCGTTAATAACATCGCCCCGGGTGTTTTCCCCAGTGAGATGACGGCTGGTGAGAGTGATGAGAAGCAGAAGAGCGAAATCCCTAAAGAGAAGTACGAGGGTAAGGTTCCTGTTGCTCGCCCTGGTAAGGATGAGGACATGGCCAATGCTGTGCTCTTCTCTACCACCAACCAGTACCTCAATGGACAGACCATTGTGGTAGATGGAGGATATGTGTTGGCGGCTGGAACCGTCTAGAGCGTGTATCATTCGATGATACACAACATTATAGTCAATAGTTTAAATAGCACATGGCTGCATGTCAATGCCAATCTTCAAATAATTGGGTTATTCAAGACAAATATTATTAGTTTGTCGTATATGACATTTGGAGCCAGCCAAATCAATTGCGGTCAACCACACTTACCACCCCATTTCCCCTGCATCACAAACCTGTACATAGTACACCCACTCAGATCGAAGTACCTCGGATGCCTTGATTCTCCGAACAGGATCAGGATGCAACATCGCATATATCACATTGCGACAACGCGTCTAGCCAATGATCAGCGCAAAAGAGACTTTCACAGGTCCTTTGAAAAGCGAGCTGCACCATACCTCTTCCAACGCTTCAATCGGAGGATATCCGTCATACGTTCGCCGTCCGCGCAGGTACAAACAATAACCCCCATCCTCATCCGCACAAGGCATTTTCCAGAGTAAGCGACCACATCTCATCGCCATGTACACAAGCCCTGCGGCCCATACATCGCCTGCTCTTGGATCAATCGCCGCATAGTTACTAAACTCTTCCGGCGGGAGGTAAGGTATCGATCCCCGCAGCTTTCGTGGAGAGTACAATGAGGACAGTTGCAGACGTATCCTGTTCTCAACATGTTCTCCATTGGCAACTTCATCTAGCAGCCACTCCGCACTCCCAAAGTCGGCCACTTTCACCGCGCCATGGGCAGTAAGAAGGATATTTTCCGTCGTCAGACCACGATGCGCAATCGCGTTGTCATGAAGATATGTCACCGCACGCATGATCTGCTTAAAGAAACAATCTGCTTGGAGTGCATCTACACTGTCTTCAGCCGTGGCAATCAGTGCGTTCAGATTCCCGCCAGCACAATAGTCCATGACTAGACAGGTCTCACCGTGTTCGTTCTGGAGGACATCGATGGTTTGAAGGAGGTTGGGGTGTGACACGGCTGAGGAGAGAGATTGTTCGAAACGCTGGGTAGCTCTGACGAGGGCGTCCGATGATCGACGGAGGATTTTGACGACATGGAGTTGCTTGGAAGCACTCGCGGAAGAAGATTTCCGGGTATATACTCTTACGGAGCTGTGGACACCGTAATGCAAGATGATGGTGGATAGACCATATCTCTCTGTTAGTGTGGAAGGCGCAGTAGAAGAGGGAGTTAATAAATTCTGCCTTTCCTCGTCGTTGATTGATTCTCTTGATAACCAGCAGCGTGCTAGGACATTCGGAAATGTCAATGCGGACAGCAAGCTAAGGCCTGATTTATGTTCGGGAGATTTTAGGTTTAGATGATGGCGATGAGTAGTATATGTACCGTAGGAGTTTTGTAACTGGGACATTGTGAGCTGTATGGAATTTGCTGCGATTTAGCATGGCAGCAGAGAGCTTTTATGTACACAGATCAATGGAGTACACGATCAGACCATCTGTTCGAGCACTTATATATAAGCGTCGCATGTACTGGGTCAACTGACCATGTGCATACCACGGAAGTAATTGCGCTAATTGGTGAAATCCTATGTAAGGGGGGTTGGCGTGACATTGTTTATTTCAAGGTGGTCAGCGTAAGGGAGTGAGTGGTACAGCATTAATTACCTCGTCCTTGATCGGATTGGATGAAGAAAGCCCTCGTCCGAATATCTTAGGTAAAAAACCTGGGGTAATGGCGGGTGGAACTTTGATTTCGGGTATAGTCGAGTCGATGGCAAACTATGTCTCTTCTATAACTTGCGGTGAAACCGAAGCTACATTTTCCATGCTCATCAATATGGCAATCAGTAATGTCGGAAACGTGGTAAATTGGAGCTTTACTGCTCCCTCACCCACGGAACAGCACAGTCACAAATCGCCTCACCACCTTCTGATTTCACCTACCATGACTAGTAACTATACATGGCTTGAGCGGTGCAAAAAAAACAAAAAAAAAAAAAAAAATTCTAAAATAGAAAAATGAAGGAAAAAGAGACAAACAGCCTCAGTTCACATTTCGTATACGTCATATCAAACTTGACCAACCCCTGCATTAGGAGATTGAATGGTTGCTTAAGCTCACCTTAAAAGACAGCAGTCCTTAGAGGGCAATAGCCGCCTATGACATTCTTACCTAACCTGTTCGACTGCCACGTGCAAATGTCTGGATCTTCTCGGTTAATGACCAGTTGACCAGTATAGTAGTACTCCAAGAAGCTGGATATCCAGAGCGAAGAATCAGAACGAGAATCCACTGGAGAGCAAAAAGAGCTGGTAAACGCTATCCTGTGCTCAACGACCTTCCAATCTCACAGAATCGATATCGTTCAATGGCTCTTCCCCATACATCGACGCAGCATAGGAAAATTCTGCTCATAGATTAAGGTCTTGGGGGTATACCTTCATGTTGGTTAATGGTGTTAATAGTGCGACAGCGGAGCTGCTGGATTAGGGCTCAGGTGTAGCGACTCGGATTGCCTCTTTAAGCCACGAGTGAAGTTCGTTGGGATGTCATGAGCTAGCAAATTACTAAAAACTTCAGTTCAATATGACACATTCTATTTTTGAAAGAAAGGAACTGAGGGGGGAAGAAGGATTGAAAACGTGTGGAAAGTTCAGCGCAGAATTTTATTGGTCGGAATAAAAGGCGCAGGTGGTGGTGAATCTGAACGCGGCGACGGTTCGTTTAATTTGGATGTCTTGAGGGATTTTCCTTAACCACACATCGTCAGTCGGAGAATAAGCGACAGAAGTCGATCGCAATACAGTCTGCGCTCCACATGAGCCTCGGTGGACAAAAGTCCTCGACCAAAGTACTGGAGTACTGTGGCGCACCCACCGACCTAGTTTGAGCTTGATTTAACCCCATCGAGAAAAAAAGCCATTTGACGGAAATGGCTGCGGGATTTTACTCTGCCACTACCATCACCATGATCGCAAGAGCGGCATCTGTCACGTTCGAGGCTGTTGGATGAGAAAATTCCCTCGCTGGTCAACTACAAATGAACCCGATACGAGATGGAGAGTAGCCATGCTCCTTCCGGTACCTGAGGCAGTCCATGGATTACCCAGAACGGCAATCCATCTGTCATTGAATCCTACCTACACTTGAGGATGTATCCATTTTCATTCTTCGTGTTCGTCTTACCCACGATCTCGTCGGTTCTCTCATACTGTCTTATTCCCTCATGGGCTAGTTTCATCTGGCTAGCTGCTCAGGTTTTTCCAAGCGAAGACCCGTATCGCTTCTCCGACCAATGTCCACACACACCATGGCTGATTCCATCACATTGTTCTCCCGTTTCCCCTCTCCATATGTCTTAGGGACGATGGCTGCCTACCCAATACTGGAAGGATAAATACTACACGGCTGTAAGCTGATTCTCTGTTCACAATCTTACCTCCTCTTCTTCCAACTTCGTTCTCTCTTGCCTATGTCTTATACGACCTGGTAGCACCTTCGAAGCTTTCCCACATCTGGATATCCCTCTATTTTACGTATTGATAGCTCGCCATATACACCATGGCCGATTCACCATCGTCTTCAGATCCTTCTGAGAAGGATTTAGAAACGGGTGAACAACGCTTGGGTCGCCCAGAGCGGCGGATAACCATCAAGTTTGATGGTACGTCGTCTCCGGACCCTCAAGGGGGAGTCTATCAATCACAGCAGCTTAATCGCCCCCGCTCTCTGAGCAGGGACTCGGTGAAGAGCGGGCGCAGTGGTTTACAGAGCTCTGGAACAGCCGGTATCCCTATCGAATTCCGAACTCTGTCTATCCAAATATCGGAGGCACAGAGAGCTACCGAAGAAGTCATAAAGGAAAGGCAAGAGAAGGAGAAGCATCCGGATCAGGACTACTTTGAGAGCTTAGACTTTCATATCCTCGACACAGACAGATTGTCTCAACAGCTCAATGTCGATTGCAGATATGGACTCAGTTCGTCGGCTGCTGCTCAACGACTCGAACGCGATGGCAAGAACGTGATAGCACACCACCGAGAAAACTATCTCAAAAAGATTCTCGGTTATGTCTTCGGGGGTTTCTGTTCGGTGCTGTGGATTGGTGTGATTATCTTCTTCATCTGCTGGAAACCTCTGAGCGATCCACCCTCTGTTCCTAGTCTTGCAATGGCGATCTTGGTCATTATCGTTATTGTTCTACAAGCAAGCTTCTCTGCCTTTCAGGATTGGTCTACAAAGCATGTAATGAACTCGATACTCAACCTGCTCCCATCCGAAGCACATGTTCTACGCGACGGGAAGCAGACAAGAGTGCCTTCAACGGAACTTGTCGTTGGTGATATAGTATACGTTGGTATTGGAAATAAGGTCCCAGCAGATATGCGCCTCTTCGAAAGTTCGGGAGACGTTCGCTTCGATCGTGCAGTGCTCACTGGCGAATCTGATGAGATCGACGGAGCACTAGATGCTACCGACAGCAACTTTCTGGAAACAAGGAACATTGCTTTCATGGGTACCAATGTGACAAACGGAAATGCGGTTGGTATGGTGGTGCTTACTGGTAGTCGTTCTGTGATGGGTCGCATAGCCAAGATGACTGCTGGTGTCAAGGAGAAGCCAACGTTGATCCAAAAGGAGATCACACGGTTCGTCACGATTATCATTTGCCTTACCATCACGCTGGTCTTAATTATCCTGTTTACCTGGGTCGGCTGGTTGCGCGTTGACCATTATTCCTTCATGAATGTTGTGGCAATGCTGAACAATGTGATGGGCTGCGTTGTTGCTTTCATACCCGAAGGCATGCCAGTCGGCGTTGCTCTCACTCTCATGATGGTTGCAAAACGTATGAAAAAGGCCAATATTCTACCCAAGGGCCTTGCGACAGTTGAGACATTGGGTTGTGTGAACGTTATCTGTTCGGACAAGACTGGCACTTTAACTCAGAATAAGATGTCAGTCAGATCGTTAGGGCTGCTTGATACGGCACTCGATGTTAAACAGCTTCCTAATACACAACGCAATGACATGCCAGAGTCCCTGAAGAGCTTACTACGCGGATCTCTGTTGTGCAATGACGCTTTCTTTGACCCGGCGACAATTGCGCTACCAGTCAATGAGCGAGGTGTCACGGGAAATGCTACTGATGCCGCTGTACTACGCTTCGCTGAATCTATCATGCCTGACGGTCGTAATCAGCTATCTGTGTTCGAAAGAATCCATCAAGTTCCCTTCAACTCTAAGAACAAATGGATGCTAACGATACATCGGGATCCCACCGATACAGATGGGTATCTGGTCTTCGTCAAAGGTGCACCGGACGTGTTACTTCCGAAATGCACTTCATACCGATCAGGCATCGATAACACAATCAAAACACTGGATGAGAAAGCAAAGGAGCTGTTCTCGAACTTTCAAGCCGAATTATCGAGACGAGCGGAGCGTGTAATTGTTATCTGTCAGCGACGCTTCACTCCCCGTGCTGCTGTTGGGTCTAACGACTTCAACGATGAGGTGTTGGCTGAATGTGTCCAAGATTTAACAGTTACTGGAATCTTCGGAATAATCGATCCCCCACGACTAGAGACTGCAGAGACGGTTGCGGCTTGTCGAGGGGCAGGAGTTCGTTTTTTCATGGTTACGGGTGACTTCGGTCTTACTGCGGCAGCGATCGCAAGAGACATAGGTATCTTCAGTGGCACTGCTGAACCAGATACTGTAGATGACCTGAAGCCTTTCACGGGTGGCGAAATTGATGAGAAGCAATCGCTACACTCTCGCCATAGTCTCCTCGTGGATGGCAAGCACATTTCAGCCCTACATGATTGGCAATGGGATACCATATGCAAGTACGAGGAGATCGTGTTCGCTCGAACAACGCCTGAGCAGAAATATCGGATTGTAGAAGAGCTCAAGAGCCGGGACAATGTCGTTGCAGTAACAGGAGACGGAGTCAATGATGCTCCAGCACTACGAGCAGCCGACATTGGGATTGCAGTGGTCTCCGGCAGTGATGTCGCAATTGAAGCAGCGGACCTGGTTCTCCTCGACCGATTCGATTCAATTGCCCAAGCCATCCGACTAGGTCGACTAGTGTTCCAAAACCTCCAAAAGTTGATCGCATACCTGCTACCCGCCGGTAGTTGGTCGGAAATCTGGCCAGTCCTGATGAACGTATTCTTCGGCGTCCCGTTACCTTTGAGCTCGTTCCTCATGATCATCATCTGCGTATTCACCGATCTCTTCTGCTCCCTTTCTCTCATCATGGAGAAGGAAGAATACGACCTCCTCAGTGTACCCCCTCGAAACCATAAAAAGGACCACCTAATCAACCTCAAGATATACGGCCAATCATACCTCTTCGTCGGCGTCATGGAGGCCTTCTGCGCTCATTCAATGTTTTTC